TATTTTTGCGAATGAAAATGATAAAGTAGATTTCGTAATGTCAAATAATTTCACTAAGTACCTACACCGTGAACACTATACTCCATAGTATCTGTTCATTATTTTTTCATTGTTCTTGTTTAACTGACTTCTTTTTTATCAAGAAATTCTATTGCAGTTAACTACAATGCCATGATTAAATCAGAGAATGTTATCAAAAATCATGTGATGTTTATTCAAGAAATGTATTTTCTTACATCATAACAATAATAAAGTTGCCGTATACGCAAACACGCAAATAAACCACTGTTATCTCCAATGTCGTAAGTTCAGGGTTTGATAACGTAACGAATTGTGATATAATATTTTACTTATGATGATACGCATATTTATGTATAATTAAAAAACTTTTGTTAGGTAAATGGTGGGACAATGACTGGGTTTTTATCGTATAATTATTTTTATACTATTTTTATGAATAAGTACCTACCTACCTACCTATAAACGTCTTTCTTTAAATTATACTGAACCTACCAATAAATATTTAATACATTCATATTATAATTAATTCCTTAAAAAATATAAGAACACATACCTACCTCTTTCAATAGTAAAAAAAAGTTTCTTTAGGACTCCCCGCAGACTTTTAGTCACTTCTTATTACTAAGAGGAATTGGCCGATACCATACTTATTCTGTGCCGATACCAAGTCAGTGCAATGTGCGCACTTTCATACATGTTCAATTGTTCATACTTATAACAGTTTGAATAAAAAAAATAAGTAAAAAAAATATTATATCGGCCGACAAAAGTCTGAATGGTTGAACAGTAGATAGACTGAGGTAAACCATAAGCAAGAAAAAGAGCCCGTAGTCCACACAGGTGAACTAAGGTGGGCCACGACCGAATAGGCTGGAGTTGAAAGTTTCAACCTTACTTACTTCACTTATTTATATTATAAGACCTACCTCAGTCTCAGTGATGGTCTTCGGCAAACGAATATGTTCAGCATTCATGCCGATGTCCTCGGCAGCCTTGAGCTTCATCCTGATGTAGACGTTGGAGTCTTCGCGGCCGCCCACCTGCACGATGGCCAGTCGCGGCTGGAACGATGCCGAGAGCTTTCGAAGCTCCGCCACTTGACTGCGGAGGTCATCTCGGATTGATCTGGAAGACAACAGGTTATTAAATTAAAGTTGATAGAATAGGCTAGTTGCCTAAAAAATTTTTTTTAGTCCGTAATGTTTAATATCAAAAAATATTGGACACATATAATTTTATTTGTCAATCTAACAAATAATTACATAGTTATGGTGCGTTGAAGTTGCGCACGACGTCACAACGTGCGGCATTTTTAAGCAAGCGGTGACGTCACGGGCCTCTTCTTCTGAACTTTGGGGCGCTATATCTCTTTAAATTTTCATTAGTTTGAAAAAGTGAAAAATACGTGTAAAGTATTTTTTGATAAGTTAACTGACGGACTAATTAAAACTCTTGCTTTTTGACCCAGGCAACATCCCCATTGTCAATTGGACAAAAATCAAATAGGTACGTAATTTTCGTTAGGTATTATCCCATCATCTAGATTCGCGGGGTTTGAAGGGTTAAAATGCTTATCTAAACCTTCGCCTATATTACTGTCTACCAAATTAAAAGCCTGCCTTGATCATGAAAAAAGGTACAACGTCGTATATTGCATTCATACCTATCATATAGTGGTGTAGTAAAGGGCGCGTTTATTAAAAAGACAAATCATTAATGTAATTTGGAGGTAGTTTCATATCTTCTTTTGTTTTGTTTTCGGTAAGCGATATCTAGGCTAATATTTCGATGATTTGGTCTATTCAGCTAAACTTATAAGGTCAGTTGAATACAAAAAACTATAGTAATAAATGATAACAAAGACGTAGTAAAATTCATTACGATGGCTTCGAAGACAGGTAAGTTACTATGATAACAATCGGTCCGTTTAAACTATCACTCAACGAAATAAACTTCAAAAAGTTTACCCAGCCACAGCAGTTCCAGATATGGGTGTCGCAACCATCTCGGCTAGAAGGTCCTCCGCCGACTGTCCCGGCCTCCAGACCCGCCCGGCATATGAGTAGATGCACGCGACCCCCGATAACCCCGGAGGCCGAGGAACGATACTCACTTGATATCAGAGACAACTGGATTTGGGGCTCTTTTGTGAATTGAAGCTAGGTATACTTACGAGTAAATAGAAACCTGTACCTAGGCCTAGGATACGCGCCATGATAAATGTTTATCGAGGCATTTTATCGATTATATGATAAGCCTATACATTTGTCGTCTAAACTCATCAATAAGATTTTATAATGTCGCATCTTAGTCCGGCTACGCGATGGAGGACTGTTGTGAACGCCCTCTGCCCCATCTAGGGGACATATGACCTTAAGTCAAGACCCTAGCCCGGCTAATTATGCAAATTTGAAGAAGATACTCTGGTCATATGCGCCGTAAGCATATTTATACCAAACAATTCTACCTCTAAATTATCTGAATCAAACACTCAACTTCTAAGGAACACCTTTAAAGTTGAGCGCATGCTTAGCACTAGATTTACATTTCATTAGACACTAGGTAATATAAAAGTACCTACACACGACTTAATGCCAAATTGCCAATACACGATTTCTACCAGCCAACCATTGGTTAGACAGACATCTCTATAAAGTTACCAATCGTTCATGTAATGCATAATACAAAATTAAATATTATTATCTATTATTTACAGTGAGTGAGAAAGTTTATCTACTTAATCCTTCATAAGCAATATGAAACAATTACTTGAGAAGTCAAGAAATAAATAAGATTTCGCTTGTCTTATTGAACTATAGAATATATCTATTTATAGCAATTTGATAATGGTAACAATAAAAAGTATACCTTATTACAGAATCCACACATAATTTCCGCACGAATACAAACCGGGTGATAGAAATAATTCGACTAAACATTACAGGAGCCTAATTTCGCCGAATTGGGATCTAAAACTGTGAAGTATTGGACAGATAATGAACGATCGATTTCTTTTTAGAAAACAGGAAAACATTGTTTTTAATTACAGTATGTTTACAGAAGAATGAACGCTAAAGGTCCCGGCACCGAACAATACATTATAGATAAGAAACTCAGAAGTTAATTAAGTTTTAGTAAACGCGTACCTACTTACTTAATTAATGTATTTGTTTTATTTACTGGTGTAAATCAATAATGACTAGATAGGTATCATAATTTTAGCATATGCTTGTGATAGGCAATATTATCTACAACTCAGTCAATATCTACTAAAAATAGAATACATGATGAACTTCGTCATACCAACTTATTATATTATATGTAGGTACCTACCTATAAAATACCTACAGTTTTTCTACTGTAGTCGTATTTTACACAATAATTATGCTCCAAATATTACAAGATCGTTTTGTTATTTACCTTGTTATTACTTATACATAAGTATGTTATTTACTTTTGGGGTTTAGTGACCTAACACGTTATTATAGGGGGAGATAAGGCGACAGATGTTCTCTTATACATTTATTGGAACTACTAAATAGTATGTATTTTTATTAAATAAGTGAGAGTTTACTGATTTACAAGCCGTAAATTGCGACCTACGCATTCACTTTGGACTAATATTGAGGTAGCTATTAACAATTTTATAACAATGTGTAACATGTACGAAATTGTGCTGGAAAATTAAAAGAAAACAAGTAAGTAGGTAACCTACCACAATCGTCACTGATAAATGTAATTTTATTCAGTGTTTACATTAGAGTAGACGACTACCAGTTCGGTTGCTGTTCAAACTAGTTATTTTAAAAAACAATTTCAGCGTTAAAGCTGTTCAAACTGGTAATTTTATAAACTTACGCAAATCTATAAATAAACCGGCACATAATGGTTTCTTAAAATAACAAGATAATTTTAATATGACATGATATAAAAATAACATTACGAAATTGGCTAAGGAATCAATGAAATTCGAAAATATCTAACTTACAATAAAATAATAATTTTACTTACTCATAAACAGAATCGGTGTTGCCGCCTGGTTTCCACATAGTTCTCAAGTTACACTAGCACATTTTGTGTTAACCACAACGCAGGTATCTCAAGCGACGCAGGGACAGAGCCCTTCTGACCCGAGAGAGATTTTAACTCATTTAGATATGATATGTACCGCAAACCACTCGCCAGACTCGTCAAACCGGTTCCTTATGTTTATTTTTGACGCGTACCGGACCACAACCCTGTAGTCGCAAGTTTGAATCCGGCTGGGAGCAATGTTATTTTGATAGGGTAACTTGAGTTGTGATCAATAATTATAGTTTGGGATTTAGTCGATACATTAGTGATGGAACACAAACTACACTCGCAAAAATATGGAATCACCCTATTCGTACCGAGCGATCGTAAGAACTAAATACTGAAACAAGAATAATAAAAATGGTACCATTTTAAAGGTAATATTACATATTTAAATTGAAACCATAGATACATAGTCATTCAGTTCTTATGATCGCTCGGTACAAAACACAAACGGTGTGATTCCATACATTTGCTCGTAAGTATATTTTTTATCAATCTACTTTAACTACTTCAGACGACATTAACCAAGCTATTTATGATTGGAAAAAATCCCAAGTAAGCGAAACGCACACCGCAACGAGGTGTTAAATTACTTCGACTACGTATTTGCGATAAATATTAATGAACATCTGTTTTAGAGGCCTTGTAGATTGAAGTTATGTAAATCCGTGACCATTGTAATAACCTGTGGTTATTACTTATAACGCATTTTGAATAATTATTTCTATTGAAATATAAACTTTTAATGATTTCAATTAAACGTTCAATTTTAACATCATCCGATCACAGGGAAATAAAATAAATAATGTATCTTTATTAACATTTATTCATCTTTAGTCAGATCACAATTATATTCGACAAAAATAGGATGAAATGTAGATATTCAAATTACAATGTTTCTCCTATGAATGCGAAATGTTAAACAACTTAACATTAATCAACAGTCTTACAGATTTTAATATCTATAGATCTATAGAAAAAAAATACAGAGAAAGCACCTAAATATTTATCAACTACTTAGGGTTTATTACCCTAGCAAAGTAAAAAAAATAACGACAAAGTATAATAAACAATAAACAATTAGTTTAATCAATTCGTCGATGTGAAAAGTAGTACTACGAAACTTGGCTTAATATCATCACTAGAAATGGAATGGCACACAGAGAAAATTCCAAATACGCCGTTGCGTAAAGTACATCAAATATCTTACTTATTTTAATAACACCAATCTAACCTATAAACTTCAGGAAACTAAAAAACGCACTATGTGATTTTTGTAATCAAATATTTCAAAATTGAGATCGCTTTTGTCAGCTTCTACATTTATACTTATACTGGGGCTGCTATTCCAAAGTCGGATAACGTTTATCCTCGTATCAAGAATTAAATTAACAATTTTATACATTTCCCTAAAGGAAAAGAAGAAGCTGTCAATATGTTAAACTTATTTAGGAAATAAAGTTATCAAGTGATTGAAAAAACAGCACAAAATTAACTATTGTACTTAAAGGAAATATGTAGTTAAATGCACAAATCAACGATTTTTAAATAAAGTTGTCAAGTTGGATGTAAAGTACTGTTAAGTACTTACTTACATTTTTAAAGTCTGAAAAATAACTGTATGAACTTAAGTTTACGGGCTCAGTTGGCAATACTCATAGTCTCAGTGTAATACTAAAGTTTGTTTAAATCTAAATCAAGCGAGTATAATTAACTTAAAACTGGCAGTCGCGGAAGTCCTAAATAAAGTGACAGTATAACGTAGCTTAAGACCTGTAGGCGCGAAAGTCCTAGACAAAGTGACAAGGTAATGTAACTTAAAACTGGTAGGCGCGTAAGTCCTAGACAAAGTGACAAGGTTACGTAACTTAAAACTGGTAGGCGCGTAAGTCCTAGACAAAGTGACAAGGTAACGTAATTTAAAACTGGTAGGCGCGTAAGTCTTAGACAAAGTGACAAGGTAACGTAACTTAAAACTGGTAGGCGCGTAAGTCCTAGACAAAGTGACAAAGTTACGTAACTTAAGACTGGAAGGCGCGGAAATCTTCCTCCTTCCCGCGATGCGCATTGGAATAAAGGTGGATCCTCATAGCGTGTACCGGTAGCGGGCCTGTTCCGCACAGCTTGCACACCAGCTCCGTATGCGAAGAGATCGACGTCCTGCCACAATGTTCAATGGTTAGCGGAGGTTTGAGATTTATAGTCAATAGTCATATAATATTAGCAAATAGAGACAAAAAAATTTAGTAGATAAGGACAAAGTTGTCAGGGTCTTTTAAAAATGGATTCTAAAATAATAATATAGTTATATCAAAAGCAAACACAAACTATTTTTAGAAGTTCAAGCGTTTCTTTTTTATAAATCCTGATACTGACCTGCTGACTTGCATTTTGAGTTGATCGTTCTCCCGTTTGAGCTCAAGCATTTGTTCACGTGGCATTGGACGAAGCTCCTGTTGTGGAAAAATTAAATTATATTAGAATAACTGATAAACTAGAGCATATGGCATTAAAAACAATGGTCTCGTTCTATTTAAGAATAAGAATTAATCTTTATTTAACACAAAATAACAAAAAAGAAACGATTATATTACGCATTTAGCTGACTTGACCTTTTTGCCACAAGAAAACGGGGCCTCCGTTTTCTTGTGGCAAAAAGGTCAAGTCAGCTAAATGCGTGTCCATACACTGATTTTCCTCGGGCACTTTTAAGTTGTTCAGTAATAGACTATAATGAAGCGGCCTATGTATCACAGTGTATGGCGTCCTATGGGGGGCTGATCTATACGAGACTATACCTCTCGCTTCCACCGCTGCATCTGCAACTCCTGTGTAGCCAGGATCTACAGTTTGACCGCCAATATAAACATCAATTCAAGGTCAAGTTTGCCCCGGGGAAAGTTGAACTGTCATATATTGATGTGGTGGTATGAAACCGCGGTAACAACTTGAAGGTTATATCTATATAAAAGCGAAAGCTCACTGACTCACTCACTCATCACGAAATCTAAGAAACTACAAGTGCTAGGAGCCTAAAATTTTGCATGGGGGTTTTTTTCTTGCGATAGAACGAGACGACATGACAGGAAATGTGGCTCACCGAACATAGAATCTAATAGCTATCTGTGAAAAACTACTATTTCTTCTCAGCACTTGCCATGTTTGTCTCGAAGCGCTGGTAGGGCCCAAAAGATAAGGAGACATGTAAAGTGCCCCACCTCTAAAGGGGTAAAACGGGGTCCACGCGCACGAAGTCGCGGGCGGCCGCTAGTTAATTTATAGTTACCAGCGGCGCGTGCAGCGGGTACATGACGGTACGCTTCACCATGTCGGGGTCCGTAATCTCCAGTAGCTCGTCGTCGGGCACAGAACGCCACTCCCACGCGTTCACCACCGACACCGGCTCGCGGTGCTTGCGACGCACCATCAGCAGGCTGTATGCACACAGTATTATAAAGTCTAAGGCTGAGTCCGCACTACGGTTTTTTCCCGCAAGCGGTAAACCGCCAAACAGCGAGACCGCCCGAAATGTATACGCGGGAAAAAGCCGTAGTGCGGACGCTTGCATTAGTTTTACTTAGTTATAAAATCACGCGGTTAAAAACCGCGGCAGTTTAGCCGTTACACGTTTTTTTAGAAAAGTGGCAGTTGATATTTAAAGGTCAAAGGTCGCCATCCCTGATATAAGACCTCCGCTAAAACTCGCGCGATGGTATTCGAGTTTTAGCATAGACCCATAACCGTGACAGACTCAGTCTGGGCAAGACCTGGCTTTTGACCCAGTCCGCGGAACATTAACATAATATGGCGCAAAAATTGAAATATTCTTAGTACACTCAATTTCATCGAAAAACGGCGATCATTGATAAAACAATCAAATCCTGCTATTAGGTGAACCGATGATCTAGTGAATCACCTGGATGCAGGCAGCGCAAGGCCAGTCGTTGTGGAAATGCAGTTCTTTGTCTAGCAGTATACGTCATTGGCTGAAACGAACTACGGAATCAAAGCGCTCACTTCATGAGGTTCCTGCGGATGTGTCCTGGCACCTGCGGGCGGTGCTCGCAGTCGGCCGGCGGCGCGACCTGCCCGTCCTCGCAGTACATCATGTAGTCCATCAGGTGGCGGATGTGGTTGATCTGCAACAACAAGCCTGTTGCTCAACTAGTCCACGTGAATTCCCAATGGAGAGGTTTCCAATGTTTTTCTATTAATGAAACATGAAAATATAAGTAAAAACAATACGAGCCCCGATGCAAAATAGTTCGTCTAGTATGAAAAATAAGATAATTATGTAATAATGTAAAGTGAATTTGGGTAAAGTAATTTAAGAAAGTTAAGAAGAAAGTAAACCATAATTTGAGTAACATTCCAAGTTTATTTTAACGTATCTCAAAATATTTCATGACCTTACATAACATAAATAAATAAATAAATAAAATATACTGAAACACATGACGCAAAAATGTTCGTCTACCATTGCCTCTCACGCAAAATAGTTCGTCTACCACTTAGTTATGTCGCCTTTGCTTTCAATTACAGCTTTAATGCAAAGAGGCAACCAACGCTGCACACTCGTCGGTCGTAATTGACTCCCACACAGCCAAGAGTTTAGCCTTCAAGTCGGTCTTTGATTTTGATGGATTTTTGCGAAAGACTTTCTTCATTTTATTTATTTATTTATTTATATTAGGAAGACCAGGGTTTACATAATTGATTATTTTACAGTTAAAATAACACTTGATAACCACTTATAGGTCCCCACATAGGTTTCCACCATAAGGTCTTAATTGGCGATAAGTCCGGGCTGTTAGATGGCCCTTCGATGGTTGGGATGCTCTTTGACAGCAGCCATGTCTTTGTTGTCGTTGCAGTATGTCAGGAAGCACCGTTTTATTGAAAAATGCAAGAATCTTGATGTTTGAGTAACGGAATGGAGGACAATAGACTTTCTTCCAAAATAGTTTGATATCTTGTTGCATTGATGGAACTTGTGCAGACATGATATCAAACTATTAAAATGACTCAACTGTAGGTCGGTTTTAGTTTCATACTGATTCGCGTCAGTGTGAGTAATTTGTTATTAAGTATTGCACTGACTGTCTAAACTGGGACTCGATATGATTTGACTGCGTAATGTTTGGCGTAATTTTAATGCTTCATAGACATCATATGGTTTGACTTCCTCTTATGCTGAAGTCGGTCGGCAGAAGTACATACGACAGACAAGAGTAACATTACGTAATAGACATTATCACATAATGTTACATGAGGCAGTGCATTATGACATCGACGTCAGAGGCGCGTTTATTGCCGCTAATTCATACGTTTGTTACGGTCGGTTGACGGTTGACGCCACAGTATAGCAGGAAATTAAGCCTTATCCTGTCATGATGGTCAGCATAACGCAGTGTTTTAGTACGTAGACTAATAGGTTTAGCGGGTAAAATTTTCCGAATTGTCTCGTACCTACTCTTCGGCCGATAACGAGACGGCCAGTGTGGCAGTGTTTTAATACGAAGTGGATGGTAGATTAACTAAATCCATCCCTAGCCCTGGGGCCACTCAATGTCGCGACTATGGAAATGCGCAACAGCATTTCAACCAGCTCCTCTAAGGCCCCTCGCCCACGGCGACTTTTTTAGCGAAGCAGTAGAGCGTTCGCATCGATACGCAATGCGGTCGCTAGCTGTGTGCCCTCCTCCCACATAAACGCGCTTCTGTCGCGATGTAAACGCGATTCAGTAACCCTCCCTCCGTGGAATGATCCCTGACCATAGGGCCACTATCTTGCTGCTATGGAGATGCGCAACAGCATTTTAACCAGCTACTTTTTTATGTGACAGGAGGCAAACGAGCAGAGGGATCACCAGATGGTAAGTGATTAGCGTCGCCCATAGACACCCGCAGTCCCAGGGGTGTTACCGGTGCGTTGCCGGCCTTTAAGGTGAAAATACGCTCTCTTCTTGAAAGCTTGCAGGTCGTATCGGTCCGGAAACACCGCAGACGACAGTCCATTCCACAGTTTGGTTGTACGGGCAGGAAGTTTCTAGAGAAACGTCCTGTTGTGGACTGCCAACCATCTAAGTGAAGGGGGTCCTGTAAAGGCAGGCACTCACGTGTCCGATGTCCTCGACGGAGAGGTCTGCATCGATGTTGACGAGCAGGTCGTGCTCGGGGAAGTAGGGCCGCGCGTCGGCGTTGGTGCCCAGCCCGCACAGCGCGCTGACGTAATCTCTAAAGGCTTCCACAGACCAAACGCGGGTCAGAAGCAGTGCGGGTCAGTTGCAGCGCGGCTGAGGCACACTGAAAGCAGCGCAGTTGCAACGCGGGCGGTTGTCAAAACTTTAAATATTCGAAAACCGCTTTCAACGCGCTGCTACCGCCCTGCGTCCGGTGTGTCATGCTAATAATATGACCGCCATAGTAATACAACAGCGCGGGCCCGCGTTCGCGCCGCGTCTGTCCCGCACCCGCGCCGCCTCGTTTGTCGTTCGGCAGTTGCAGTGCGGAGCGGTTGGAGCGCGGGCCCGCGTTCAAATTTGGTGTGACACACTTCAAAGAGTTTCTTGTATTACAACTTGCACGGGCCCGCATTCAAACTGCGCTGCTACTACCCCGCGTTTGGTCTGTGAAAGCCTTAAAGGCAGGCACTCACGTGTCCGATGTCCTCGACGGAGAGGTCTGCGTCGATGTTGACGAGCAAGTCGTGCTCGGGGAAGTAGGGCCGCGCGTCGGCGTTGCTGCCCAGCCCGCACAGCGCGCTGACGTAACGCGTGCCGTCCGGGTCGCGACGAAGCTCCGCACTGAACACAACGGGTTAATACTTAAATATTAAGCCGGGTCTACAGCGATTTTTTTTTTGGAAACATTCAACAAAAACATATACATAACTTTGTTTCTAAAACATGTTTTTTTACAAGCGCCGTCAATAACTCTCGTGGCTTGTATAGACAAAAATAGTTTTTCCAGCAAATAAAATAGTTCGGTCGAAGAAGACGTAAAAACAAGCCACTCGCTCAAATTTTAAATGTGACAGCAGTGACTTACTGAATAGCTTGTATTTTATTTGCTTTATAAAAATAAATAAATAAAAAGAAGTCACTTCTAATACAACTGCTGCGCTAATAGTTTTGTAATATTTATGAATAAGACAAATTAATGTTCCTATGTAAGTGATTGCATTGTAAATCTTTTTGAGAAATAAATACAGGGTGTTAGGTAAATGGGTATATGAGCCGAGACTAGCCCATGTTAACATACTCATATAAATACTATAGTGGTGTCAGAAAGTGGATATCGTAATATTTAATAAAAAATATTTTCCCATACAAAACTAAATAAATTATTATTATTTTAATTTTTGGACAGCCCTACGATCGCGCAACTCCCTCCTAGGTCAAACGTGGTCAAACGGTATTTCATTCACAAATTTTGACGCGAGTCGGCACCGCCCACTTTTATTATTACTTTTGAACCAATTCTTCACTTACCTCTTTTTATTGACTCTGCAAGCAATCCAAGGTATTCAGGGGGTAACACTTCACTCTAATTCACAAAACGAATCGCAACACATCTATCACATCCATCCACTCACTTATTCACCTTCCCACGCTTTCAAGTGACCGGGTAGGTTCTTGTAGTGAAATCCTATTTTTTTTCAAGAACGGGATCTCCGGGTCTCCCTTCGGTGGTATGGTGGTGTCGATTCACCCACCCTCGAAAACATTAAGATACAAGGCATCGTGGAACGGAAGGTCTCCCGGACATAAATCGTTCATCACACTAAAGAAGACACAAAGTCCTATTGCACCAACACCACTCAACACACATCACCTTAGTTTCACTGTATTACTTAGCTATTTGAATATCTAATTATCCAGACAACAACAAAACATCGCAACGAACGCAAATTATTTACTGACAAAATAATGTAAACAAATAAACATGGCCGCATGGCGCATGCGCTGTGCAACTAGTGCGAGGTCATTATTTTTTCCATAAAATCGGTAATCGATATTGATATTACAAAAAATCGATTAAAATATCAAATTTTTTGAAAACCATCTGAGTAATCAATAGGAATGTCTTAAAATCAATTATCGATTAATTGATAGAACCTACCTACCCGAAATCGCTCATACTATCGATTGGTCTAAATCAGATAGAAGATATTGAAAAAAAAAACTAACAACACAGTTTTATTTGGTAAATTAAGAAAACCGTAATCTGCCATGCTTTTGGAAATGTTTTAGCTAAATTTAATTTGCGATAAACGCTGTTATTTTTCTTAGAAAATAATTAATATGATATTTTATTAACGATAGTATGAGTGATTGGGTGGCCCTTCGATAGGCTATTGATAGACAATCAGCAAGATTACTGACCAACTGGATTGTAATTACGACACTTTAACCCCAGAGACGACTCGACCTTCATTAGTCAATCATGAAATGAAAACTTAACCCCAACCACATGTCGTCTCCATTAATGATTGGAAATTAATTAATGGCACCTGAATTTATTATTTGTAGAAAAAAAAATCCTTCAACGATTTATTATTGAACAAGAGAAAAATCTTAATCGATTTTTTGCCTTCAATGTCACTTCCCTACTCCTGCGCCGCGATGATCTTCCAACTCTTTCTTGCAAGTGAAAGCCGCCGTGCGATACGTCTTGCGTCTCACTCTCGCTACACGTGCCGTCCCATTGTTCGAGAACAATAGGACCTTTCGTTGTCCTTCAAAGATTAAACAGTGCGTTGGACACGTTTCTTTAATGCCTAAGGTTTTTTTTCAATAATCGTGATTTACGATGATAAAATTTAGATGATTACCTACAATGTCTCATTTTCCTTAATCAGTTATCAAGTTTAATGATTATTCAATTAATTTTAATAAGTAAGTTACAGGCAATGAAGTAAAATTAATTCTTGACCACTTTGTTTACTTTTACTTATCCAAATCGAATCAAATAAGGTAAGGGAGTATTTGACTTATTCTAAATCTTTTTAGATGGACTGATTTTCCTGGGGAACTGCTTAAGGTTTTTGCCTCTCAGAGAAAAATTGTTAGGCAGAAAATAATAATGAATTCTGTTATTTGTTTTATCTACGCAAGTTTGTCGTACTATTAATTTTCAGGGGTATCACGACGCAATCTGGCGACAAAAACTGAATCAGCTGATTACTCAATAATGGTATCTTTCCCAGACTTTCTGACACCACTATAGTATTTATATGAGTATGTTAACATGGGCTGGTCTCGGCTCATATACCCATTTACCTAACACCCTGTATATTTGACCACAAAATGAACGATGTGGCAGTACCCCGCTCCTCGACCCGCACAGAGCGCAGGGGTAATTTTGTGTACGTGTTTTCCACCAAACATGCGAGAGCAAAAACAGTGTTGATGCAAACAAAAATAAGCAAATGAATCACTTACTCGCTATGAATACCTATAGCGCAGGAGTCACACTGGAAGCCATATTACATAAATATTTACCTACTTGTTATTAGCTTATTACTAACACTAGATTAAGATTATTATTACTTACACGGGGCAGAACAGCAGCGCCATGATGCCGGGCAGACCGGGGATGTTGGGCATGAGCGTGGTGTGCCGCAGCGTCAGCTTGCTCTGCGCCTGGTTCTGACCCACGTCAGCTGCCACCACCAATCTGTACAATAAATTTTTTTTTCAAGACACGACTTGTTACGACCATCTTACATACATATATACCTTTTTTATAGCCCTATACTATGTACCACAAATATGTCAATCTTTCCGCCCGCGGCTTCGCCCGCGTGGAATTTTGTCTGTCACAGAAAAACTTTATCGCGCGCGTCCCTGTTTCAAAAACCAGGATAAAAACTATCCTATGTTCTTTCCCGGGACTCAAACTATCTCTATGCCAAATTTCATCAAAATCGGTTGCGAGGTTTAAGCGGGAAAGCGTAACAGACAGACAGACAGACAGAGTTACTTTCGCATTTATAATATTAGTTGGGATGGGATTATTAAGAAAAAGATATTAAACTCAGTGTTAAACAATCTTTATTTTCAATCACTCACATGACTATTATTAAAAGGATATTGTGGTTCATTTGAGTGGAAACCCTACTATTTACACGCCACACCATAGATTTGTGGTCCTTCGAGCCGGATGGAGGCCTAGAAAACAGTTTTCAAGCCGCAGAAAAAAACATTTGGGAATTAAAAATGAATAAAACTGTGCGTGTATCTGCTAAACTACCTACTTTTGCTATTTTTATCGAGAACGTACTTTTAGAATTTATTTTAAAAATCGTATTACATTAGATATCAATTAATTTTCAGGACACAGCTATAATGATGAACATATTGTGGTTTATTGAAGAAGGTGCAACCTTACTTTGCCGAAGATTCTAAGCGGCATATTTACTGCGGTTGACGAGTACTTTAGTGTGACACATTAGTAATTCAAAACTTACAGTCTTATTTGTAACAAAATAAAGGTGAAAGTAAAGCATACCTTTCGTAAACTTCTTGTGGCTCGGTGTCGAGCATCACCGAGTTGACGGAGTGCCACTCGATGGTGACCTGCTGGTCGCGGCTTGCGTACATCAAGTTGTGAATCGTCGTCTCCAACGGGCTGGGGAGATTACGTAATCAGTAAAAGATTCGTTTTTTAAGTCGGGAAACTGACATTTTAAAAATTCAACTGAAATTCATCAAATTGAACCGAGTGAATGAGGGTCCAGCATTACCTGTTAGGCTTAAGGGCACGGCCCACCAATTTTTTTTAAAGCACCGACGATACACGTTTATGAAACGCGTGTCGACGGCGCGCTTTCTTTTCCTACAAACATCCATAGATTGGGTCCAAATACGCCGTCGTCACACGTTCAAAAAAAAAATGGTACGCTCAGGCCCTTAGGTCTCAAAAAACGTGGTATGCCCAGACCCTTAGGTCTCATATTCACTTTCAAGATAAAACAGAAGTCCTATCAAAATGTACGAATCAATGAGTCCCTTGGCTTACCTGGTAGGCCCTTTGAGGCAAACGTCGGCCACGCAGTCCTTGCTATTTGGCGGCTCCAGTTCACGAAGGTCCTTGTATATTTGGGACTGCTCTTTGTTATACGCCCGCTTCTGAGCCATGTTTAAATCTGACGCCATCTGACGGAGGTCGTGGTTCATCTGTGTGACGAATGTTTAGCATTAGTCATGCATTTGTTGCATGTTAATATTTAACTTTTTGACATTTTATAATCTTATATATATAAAAGAAAGTCGTGTTAGTTACTTCGCTTATAACTCAAGAACGGCTGAACCGATATAGCTGAAAATTGTCAGGGAGGTAGTTTAGAGCCAGGAGAAGGACATAGGATACTTTTTATCCCGTTCGAAATAAAAAAAAATCTGCTTATTTATTGCCATTAAGGCGGAACAAAGTTCGCCGGGTCAGCTAGTTTTTATTAAATTTAACTGTTTGACATTTTATAAAATTGACATTTAGAAATTAATGTATAATTTATTACTATTTAATTAATTTTTAGTCTGCACTCTGTATTAATTTTAACTGTGGAAACTTTGCTGATTTCTGTCCTATTTTTTTGTGTGATTATTTGTCTGTATATCAAAATTGTTTGTTTCCCTAATATAAATAAATAAATAAATAAATTTGGTATTGGGGTCCACGAGTTTGTATAGGCAAGTGCAGTTTAGGATTTCTTTTACAACCTGATTGAGTTAGCTGCGCACCTCGCTGAAATGCGACTCTCCCTTCCCTTTATACCTCCTCGCGTTCGTCATGTCCATAACAGAGCGTCGATTTGACGTCACGATCGCCTGGTGCGCAGTTAATTCGAAGGGTTGTAGAGAGATTCATCGTTAACAGGTAGCGGTTGGAAGAGAATAATAAAATTTCAAGCGTGTATTAGAGGCCGCTTGTATCTTGTCATTTTCGAACCTAAAACCAAAGCAATAAAGTCCAAAGTATCACAATCACCTTGGAGTCGTAACTTTCTTCGACGGGAACCGCGTAGCCGCGCGATACTAGCTCGCGATTGACGTTCACGCGCCCGCCGTCTGCCAGCAGTTCGATGGCTACCGTGCCGTGCGTCACGCTGTACACCTGAAAATGAGGACACATTAATATCATCCTATGCAGGAGTTGCAGAGGTAAGAAAGAGAGGTGGGATTAGTCCCGTTACTGACTGCTGCAAAATCAGCCAAAGAATTGCCCGGCGGACGGGGCATATGGCTCTTAGAGCTGATAACCATTCGTTGCAACAGAACAGTTCTCGAGTGGCGACCACGGTCCGGAAGACGTGGGTCCCACTAGACTACATGGAACGACGATTTGTTGAATGTGGCGGGAAGCACCTGGATGCGGGCAGCGCAGGACCAGTCATTGTGGAAATCCTTGGGGAGGCATTTGTCCAGCAGTAGACGTCATTTGGCTGAAACGTACGACTGAAGGAACTGACTGCCATGGCGAGAGCGCGCGGGGATCACTGCACGTGAACCCTAGGCAGATGCATTTCCGTGCATATCTCCCGCGATTCGACCAGTATAAATCGAAACGTTGGCATGGCTATGGGAAGGTGGAGGGAGGGCGAAAATGTTGATGTCATGTTTTTAAATACCAAGAATAAATTAGGAATAATAATAGGCTAGATGACTAAATTTCAATTATTTGTCCGTCAGACAGATAATTAGAAAATATTAGACTCATATTTTTTATTTTCTTTCATAATTAAATAATAACAGTGTTACATCGAGTTGAAATGGCGCGATACGTCACGAACATTCGACTCACGCACGCGTATTCTTGTGTATGATGGAAGAAAATGGTGTACTAAATACTGTGCAGTATTTAACTGCCTAAATAATAATAAAAACACAGAATGTACTTTTTTAAGTTGCCTCAAAACACAGAGGTAAATAAGTAGTTAATATTATTCATGATAATTCATGCTAAATCATGTATTTCCTCCACCATTTTCCGCAGTTTGGCACCTCACGTCACATCATTTTACCGAAGTCAGCCCTATAGCTTCGGCGCAGTGCCGATCACTGACGTTTGTCAACAAAATGGTGCTTGACTCTTGAGACAGGCTAAATTACACCATATTGTTAATGACATTGAGCATGCATTTTTTTAAATACCTTCTCGAAGTAAAACTTCTGTACGTAGTATTTATTATTATTCTGTGCGTGTACCTTGGCCAGCAGGCGGGTGCGCGCGGTGAGCTCGGCGAAGCAGGCGTCGGCGGCGCGCGTCCACTGCGCGTGCGGCTCCAGCAGCGATGGCGGCGTCAGCTGGCACGCACGCGTCGCTTCAGCGTCAGTTGCTGCGTGTACCTTGGCCAGCAGGCGGGTGCGCGCGGTGAGCTCGGCGAAGCAGGCGTCGGCGGCGCGCGTCCACTGCGCGTGCGGCTCCAGCAGCGGCGCGGGCCCCAGCTCGCACAGCGCGCACTGCATGGCCAGCGGCGGCGTGCGCTGGCACACGCCCGCGGGCAGCATCATCAGGTTGCACGTGTTCAGCCGACCGTAGCCGCCGAAGTCGATGTACAGCACCTGGTTGAAGAGATGAGATAACATGAGCGACGCGTGATTCGCCGTGAGACGCCGAGTTCTTCAGTGGCGACCACGAGCCGGAAGACGTAGCGTGGGCAGGCCTCCCACTAGGTGGACCGACGATCTGGTGAAGGTCGCGGGAGGTGCCTGGATGCGAGCGGCGCAGGATCGGTCTTCGTGGAAATCCTTGGGGGAGGCCTTTGTCCAGCAGTGGAAGTCTTTCGGTTGAAACGAACGAGCGACGCGTAAACGCTTAGACAATGCTAAGGGCGTATACTAACACCCGTATTCACAAACATTCATCATTTCAGCCATATGACGTCCACTGCTGAACATAGGCCTCCCCCAATGACCTCCACATCGCACGGTTGCTAACGGCCAGCATCCAGCGCCTTCCTGCTACCTTTATCAGCTCGTAGGTTCACAAACATTACTTTTTTTAATCCTCTCTCGGGAAGCTCTTGACCTGTATGTCACCTGATGGTAAGAGATGATCAAGCCGAAGGTGGAAGCTAGCTTCACCCGGAATCCTCAACCACAGAGGAACTGACTATCTTACCTAACTGCCAGAACACAACAATGTCGTTAACATTGTTGTTATGGCAACAGGCTTAGGTAAGATGGTGGTAGCTAGCCAGGCGGACTTAGAACAAGGAAATTAAACAGAAAAATCTCCCCCACGGGAAACCGAACCCGGGACCTCTGCATCTGAAGCAGGTGGTCTTACCATTAGACCACAGAGGCGGTTATGAAGTATCACAGTACGCGTGGACGTACAGGGTGACACAGGAACCAATCACAGAGCTCTATTCAACGCCGTGCGTTCAATTTGCTGCTTCACTTAGCAAACATCGTTTGTGAATACGGGCATAAAACTTGCACGGGCGCATATACACGTTTCTGTATCGAAAAAAGTATGATAGTGTGGCGCGGACGCGTGCGAGGGATTTCCATGCGGTTTTAGCGTAGGCCCTAAACGACACCTAAGGAACAACACAAATTTTTTCTTGAGGGTTCACGCCATCGACTCGTTTTACACAATAATGGAACACGCTGTTAACGCGATGTTGTCGTAAGTGATGTAAGATGCAGCAAAACTAGAATCTTACTAGGCAGTTTTCACATCATTTTCCTTATGTCACACTCAAGCTAATTCTATGTTGTTATCAATGTTTCACACATTGTCATATTGTTCAACTCACAACTAAAACATTATTTCATATCCTACTAAAGCCTGGTCCGTGAGCACGTAGAATTTTGTCCAATGACCCTAAGCTACCCATCCTTATCGCTCGCGCGTAATTGTATTGCTGTCGCGACTGTGCGACGCGCGCCCGCAGTGAGTGTGCGAGCGCGACGGGTCATTGGACAAAATTCTATGTGCTCACGGACCAGGCTTTAATATTATTATTTTTTTTTCATAACATCACTCTCACCTCGACCATGTCCCTCGGCAGCACTTTCTTGACTTGCACGCGGCAGTAGGAAGTCCCCTTGTTGTCGGAACGGGGCCCCGCGTACACGTCCCCCACTTGTACGGGCCCCGTGTACACCAACAAGTGGGGCCCGTTCAGGGAGTTGTGGATCTCACGCAACTCGGCCGCTGTGGAGTCGTCGTCGTATTGAACGAAGAATCTGCTGATGCTGAATTTCTGTGGAATATAAAATATGAAGTAAAATAGTTTATTCAGTACTGTTAATTGTGAAAAATATAAAACGTTAAAATAACGGTATCGTTATAGCCAATGAGCTGCTGTCATAGTGACATTGACGTAATGTCAATGTCACACGAGCAAACGTTAGAATAAAGGGACGCGCGGAGACGACTTTGACGACCCCGCGCTTTTGTGCTAAGTTATGTATAGTATATAAAATAAGGCAAAATAATGCGAAAGTTGAGTATTCAGTGTTTTATTTATGAAAATAGATCGAACGGCCTCTAATAGTACTTATGTACTGAAATAGTTTATTCTCTGAAATAGTTATTTAGTAAGGGCTTATGCCCTTTCCAGGGCACTTATACACGTCCCAAAAATAGCTTGCCCTATCACCACTTCGGTACAACAAATGGGCTGGTACTGAGAAGAGAATAGATATATCGTCCGTTCGTTTCAGCCAAATGTCGTCTACTGCTGTGCAAAGGCCTCTCCTAATATCGTAATGGCGGATGTACACTATGCAGGAAATAGGCCAAGACGTAATAGTGTGAACACCATCTCGGTTACTTTCTGCTTTTCTCGCGTGCGTCACCCATACTTCGGTTTGTGGACTAGCGCTTCGACTTGGACAATTTGCCGCATAATGTACATCCACCGTAAGGGTATAATTATAGGGCTATTAATGTTATTGTAGAGATAGTATGATGCATGCCTCTCCGCTTTCTCATACAAATATCGCAAGCCACGTTAAATATGGATGATGTAACAAGTAAGCGTGTTTATAACGACTATTGTATCAATGTTACATAGCGCTCAGTTTATAATGTGGAGTTACAATTTTAAATAATAAAGCGAATATAAGATTTGCGAAATTGCGAGACTTTTCAACTGAAATCTAAACTATGCCATGAGAGTTCATGCTGTGAAAGACGTTTTAACCAACAATCACATTACACTTACATAAGTGATCTTCAATGGAAAATGCGTGTCGTCAACTTCTGGCAGTCGCGGCACCATCTTGACCATGTCAGGGTTGCTGTTACTAGCCTCAAGCATCGCCGCAAGCGCATTGGCTTTCTCCAACCTGGTAACATAGCAACAATGAGGGTTTTGGCGATTGAAAAATCTGCCAGATGGCAATACGTAGACGCGAGGTCCAAATGCTGCGTGATTGGTGGATTTTGACATATCTGTCAATGTCATGTCAAAAATAACCAATCATGCATCATTTGGACCTCGCGTCTACGTATTGCCATCTGGCGGATTTTTCAATCGCGAAAACCCTCATTTAGGTAAAACTAGCTTTTGCCCGCGGCTTCACGGCAAGTTTGTCACAGACTGTCATAAATTATAGCCTATATGTTATTCTAGGTTATAAAGAATAACACTGTAAAGTTTCATTAAAATCCGTTCAGTAGTGTTTGAGTGAAATAGTAACAAACATCCACCCAGACATCCAAACTTTCGCATTTATAATATTAGTAGGATTAATTAATGCTAGCAAATGGAAAGATATAGTAAAGTAGATCACAATTCTAGCTATCCATTTCCGATTTTTCTTTCGCTTTCATCAAATAGTAATTCTTTGCGATAGTACGAGACAACTTGACCGGCCACAGGGTCCACTGTATTTTTATCAAATTACACTTGGGTTCATACAACACACATCATTACACAAAACAAGAACTTTTGTAAAAAAAAGAACACATTCATATTTTATTTCATATCTTAACACGATTTTTAATGATTAAGAAAATACATACGGCAGCAATGGAATCCTGATGTCCATTCTCAGCTGGCGTGCTTTGATCGCTTTGTACACTGGCAACACCACTTGGCCAGGGATTGTGGGGTCCTAAAAACAATATTGATCACTCGTTATAACCGTATGGTCACGAAAAAATATATATTCCGTTAATAGTGATTTAAACATAGAAGAAACTTACACCGCTGTTATTCTTGTCACGTTTCGCGTATTGGTTGTCGCAGAAAGTCAAAAATACTTTCCTGAAACAAAAGTAACATTGTGAGTAAAATGGATTTCAAGAATCAAATAATTTCTTTTTCACTCACTAGTTCACATATTCTTAACTGATTGATTACATAAAACCAACTTCTTGAGTGACGTATTACATACACGAATACGTGCACGTTAACGCCTACAAAGCCATGTGTGTTTGTTCGTGTTTTACGACGGTACACCAAGACAAACACTGTGACACCTAATGTAGTAAATCCGGTCACCGAGCACATAGAATTTCGTCCAATGACCCCAAGCTACCCATCCTTATCGCTCGCGCGTAATTATGTTGCTGTCGCGGTCGCACACTTACTGCGGCCGCCCGTCGCACAGTCGCCATAGTGCTCGGCGACCGGACTTTAGTATGTGCTATTTTCCAACAAATAGGGTGGGTGTACCAGTAACAAACCGAATAAGCGACATTTTAAAAGTAATTTTGATATTGTGACTCAATTATTACAACAATCATTGCAAAAAAAAGAATTAACTACTCCTTGTCTATCATAGAATCAAGTAGCTTCTTAATAGCTGTAAGGTTTATTTTTATTTAACAATCAATGTGGAAAGTCGCAATGTGCCTAAGGTTGACCAGATCGTACAAGTCTTGTTAGTCGCTTTTATTTATGACTTATGATTGGTAGAAGTACGGCAGTGCTACCAAACGTAACAAAAGTGGCGGGAAATTCGACAGATTGTTAATATTTTGATGTGAAATTAGAAATGGTGTACTACTGGTTCCTGGTGTGGGACTGGTGCACCCACCCTAACATACGGTCTGACGTAATAAGTAGTTTACCTGCTGTTCTTGTCGAAGGTGACGCGCGGCTCGTCGCCGATGTGTTTGCGCACGATGTTCTTGATGGCTGCCGCGTACACCGGGCCCGGCTGCTGGTCGGGGAAGTCCCGAAGGTAAACCTGCACCAATATTACATTGTTATAAACCAGTGCCGGAGACTACTTGATGCCCTAAGCCAGGGATTTTCAAAGTGGGATATGCGAACTCCTAGGCCCTAGGAGTCCGCGTATCCCAGAGAGAGAGAGAGAGGCAGAGGGGGTTCGCGACAACATTTACGTAATGGTGGCAGAATTGAAATTGTTCAAAATTACTCCTAAAATTGACTCCATTTGCGACAAGAAACAAGCATACCCATTACATTAATATTTTGAAATTAAAACCTTATTTTCTTCGAGAGACCATTTTACTATTTTCTTTAGTGGGAGGGATTAATTAGCTAGTTAAGGTGTTTGCTGTCACCTGCAAACTTTAACAGGGGTTCGTGGAGCCGAAAGTTTGAGAAACCCTGCCCTAAGCAATCCACAACTGAGTGCCTAACCACTAGTGAGACTATTAGCAATTTGTACAATACAAATTACTACAGGTCTAGCCGCTAGACCTGCTCGAAATAAGTCAGTGCATAAGGTACGGCGGGTGTTTTAGTGACGTCAAATGTTAGCGTGACTTCAAATGTGCTTTAGATTTGTATGCTCTGTCACGTCTCAATATGTCAATGTCAACCCTTCTGTTCGGGCACTGAGTCAATGAGGGCTATCGTTTTTATACTTAACAGTTGGCACCCTTGGCGATTGACAGGACCTTACTCTACAGTGGCGCCATCTTGATGAGTGCAAATACGATAGTCCTCCTACCACTTTCGCGCTCACCAGTTGGTGCCACTGTCTTCGCTACTAGCAAGTGACAGGACCTTACTCTACAGTGGCGCTAACTGGTGAGCGCTAAAACGATAGCCATCATTATGCGCGGGACCTGTAATATTCATAAAAAAATGAAGAAAAAAAGAACGCACCGTGTTCCTGGGATCGAGCCCGTTGAGAATGCGCACGGCCTCGCGCTCGCGCGCCTCGTCCTGCGACACCTGCACGAAGTACTGCGGGTAAAACGCGCCCGCCAGAAGTACCTGCAAACGATATTCAACATTAATGCAGTGGCAGTAGATATCAGAATTTGAACCTCTTCATCTTAAGGTTCAAATCAGAGTTTCTTAAGTGATATTGAAGCAGAGTGGGTTTCAATCCAACTGAAAACTATTCGGAAGGACCGCTACAAAAAATTCAAATTACTTCTAATCTCGATCAGCGAATAGCATTAGAAAATAGAGATGCAGGCGGATAACATTGGCCGTATTTTCGCTGACTCATACGAGTAAACCTACAAATATTGGGCAATACTAAGGAATAGTGGAAATGTAAATTGAACCCAGGTACAACCAATTTACTAGCATGATTTTTATCCAGTTTATTTGCATAGTTATAGGGAATTTCCTATTAGGTTGCATTGCACCATAGAGCAGACGCAGCTCGCGCGGACACTGTGCGTACCTTGAGCACCACGGGCAGCTCGTGCTTGTCCCAGGGCGAGTGTCCCTTGAAGGGCTCGATGCCGGCGCGGGACAGGCGCAGACGGAGTTCGCGCACGAGGTCGTCTAGGTCTCGCAACGCGCGTAATTGCACGTAGAAGCGGCGCGCCCACTGCGCCTCGTTGTTGCCTTGCTGACGGAAGTACTGCTGCTGGCGTAGGTGGTTCCACACCTGATGGTTTGAAGACATTACGTAAATGGGGTGATTCTTGATTAAGTGTATAAAGGAGAAGGGCGATTATAAGTAAAGAAGGGTGATCCTTAATTAAGTAGACAAGAAGGGCGATTCCTCTGCTACATGAGTATTTGGCTGCATCTACGAAATACACTCGTGATGACAACAATATACCCAAGAAATTAGTTATTTATCTCCACGTATAACCGGTGCAGTTAAAGATAGGTGAAATGAAGGTTTCTTCAGTGTTAGACATACAACCATTATAAATTAAATTTTACACTTTTTGTGGCCCACCGAAGGTAATATAATTCTAACACCCGTATAAAGGAGCACATCGTGTTTTACGATGCCATTACCTTGTAGACGTTCAGGAAAGCGATGCAGTCGCTGGTGGATCCGTCAGCCCACGTGAGCTTGGAGTTGTACGCATTGAGCCGCTCGCGGAACGGACTGTTAAACAAGTTCTTCACGCTCATGGCCGCGGCTGGAAAGAAATAGACAATTTTAGTCTAGGAGAAAGTTGCTAAGAGCGCTTTCACATTTACATGACTTTAGCAGCGCGACAAACGCGCGACAGACGCGCTGTCGATAATTAAATACTATGTGACAGCAGATGCACGCCTTCACATTATAAAAACGCCGCTGCCGCGCTGCTGTCGCGTTTCTAACGTCCTAATGTGAAAGCACTCTAAGTGAAAGTTTAAATATGAGCTTGGGCAGTTTGACGTCCATCGGTAGCATGGCCATGACGCGGCCGGGGTGCGTGACGTCACGGACGAGCTCCACTAGTCCAGCGTCTGGCGACACCTACCCATGATGATGCTCTCCTCCATGCATCCGAACATGTAGCCCAGCATGATGAGCTTGGACAGCTTGACGTCATCGGCAGCATGGCCATGACGCGGCCGGGGCGCGTGACGTCACGGACGAGCTCCACTAGTCCAGCGTCTGCGACACCTACCCATGATGATGCTCTCCTCCATGCAGCCGAACATGTAGCCCAGCATGATGAGCTTGGACAGCTTGACGTCGATGGGCAGCATGGCCATGACGCGGCCCAGGTACGTTATGTCGCCGTCGGAGGAGCTCCATTCGCCGTTGAATGTCTTCTTCAAGGCGCCAATCTGAACATCATTTATTTATTAATAGAGCACTAGTAGATTTAGAGGGGTTTTATTTTATTTATGTATCATATAAACAAGTGTTTTTAATAACTTTTTAAGTAGTGTAACAGATAGATCTTAGAACTGTGTGACCAACAGGAAGACAGGGGAACTATAGCCTGGTCCGTGAGCACGTAGAATCCCGTCCAATGACCCCAAGCTGCCCATCCTTGTCGCTCGCACGTAATTATGTTGCTGTCGCGCTCGCACACTCACTGCGGGCACGCGTCGCACAATCGCGGATCGGGATTCTACGTGCTCACGGACCAGGCTTTACAACTTACTTCTTTCAGCACAAGCACAGTGCGGTGAATATTCAACATATCGGGCGGGTCCATAGCCAGCGCCAGGATATCGCTCGGAGGGCCCATGTCCAACATCTTGGCAAGCAGGACCAGACGCTCCAGCGGACAGCGGACTATTTCTGGGGCGCACTCTTGGGGCAGGTTTTCCTGAAAGGGAAAAGTACACGAGTCTGAAGTTTGTACAATGATAGAAAACGTTTTAGCGCAATATTTTTTAATTTTGATAGCTACATGGCTTCATGCCTGGAGCGCCTCGAATTCACCCACTCCAAAATGTACAAGTTTTTTTTTATTTGTTACAATCTCGCTTTATTATACATCGGGTCTGCCACCTTTATGTATCATTTTGACCATAACTAACCGGAATAACGGGTGGCGTGCGGTGCACAGGAAAAGTGCAAGTCCAATCTAGAAAATAGTGTGTCATATTCATGTTCTTGACTATTTTTATTCACTTGACACGAAGCCATATTTAAAAGAAAACTTCTTCTTCTTGTGTCAACAACAAACCTACACAGCTTCAGCCCAAAACTACGCTACAAGAGTGGTGTTGTCAGCAGCATTCATTACGCCTAGACGCAGACCACAAATTTTTTGCCGGCCGATAGTTTAGTCGGTCTGTTAATCAGTATGGGCATGTGTGAAAGTGCGCACATTACACCGATTTGGTTCGGCCGATTCTTCATACAAATTATATTCGGGTCCAACTATAGGCCAAGTAAAAATCGGTGGTCTGCGCCTAGGCTAAATCCTCCTGCGTGCAGTTGATTAAGGCCCAGAACAAACGGTGAAACGCAACTGCAACGAAACTGCAACTGCTAGTTACTTTTGAGTTGCATCTAAGTTTCTGCCATAGCGTCCGTGAGACCACACATGACGCGACCAGTTTGAAACGCGTTCTGGGCCTAAAAGAAAACTTTAGACTCACATATAACTTCTCCTTAACAAGCCTGTAGACGCGGCCGTCGCGCACTCGTCCCGCGCGGCCGGCGCGCTGCTCGCAGTTGGTCTTGGAGGCCCAGTGCATCTGCAGCGACGTGAAGTTCGTGTGCTCGTCTGCCACTAGGATCTTCATCAGGCAGAAGTCGATCACTGCGGACCAGTATTTTGCCATTTGCAAACATTGACTTCTACACGGTTTCATCATCATCATTTCAGCCACAGGACGTCCACTGCTGAACATAGGCCTCCCCCAATGACATCCACATCGCACGGTTGGCTGCTGCACGGTTTGTTCGCACTTATTTATTTTTGTATACGGCGATACTAGCCGTGTTGACATTTAGACCAATGAGGTATATTATTTGTCCTCACCGGTTGGCGCCATTTGCGAGTACAAAATAGCGCAGAGCCCCGACATAAATATGGCGCATAACTGCGGATCCTGTGGTACTGGACCTTTCATTTATTACTATTTTCGGTAGTTTTTGACCCCCTATAATAAAAAAAAAAAGGATAGGCCGACCCCTCCCCCCTGTTTAATATTTATTACGTAAGAATCTAAAGGAAGAAAATGAATAAGTACACGTTTGACTAATACACATTCTAACTAAGTGTCGGCCGTTTGGTGTAGTGGTTCAGAACGGACTACCATGCCGAGAGGTGCCGGGTTCAATTCCCGGCCGGGGAGAAATTGAAATGATGAATTTTAATTTCTGTGACGGGTCTGGGTGTTACTATGTATATTAAGTATGTATTTACATAAAAAAAAGTATTTAAGTATGTTTATATTCGTTGTCTAGTGCCTATAGTACAAGCTTTGCTTAGTTTGGGACTAGAAGCGTAATGTAAAATGTCCAAGGATATTTATTTATATTTTTTAGTAAAATGTCTCGCTGCAAGCAAGCTGAAGTGGCAATAGGCAGGGCATATGGTACGCAGAACTGACGGCCGATGGGGCAGCAAGGTTCTGGAATGGAGGCCGCATACCGGAAAACGCAGCGTGGGACGTCCACCTACAAGGTGGACTGACGATATCGTAAAGGTAGCAGAGAAGCGCTGGATGCAGGCTGCTACCAATCGATCAACGTGGAAAGCATTAGGGGAGGCCTATGTTCAGCAGTGGACGTCCTATGGCTGAAATGATGATGATGATGATGATGAAAATGTCTCGCTGACTTGAGAAGAGTTTCAGTGACTGCTCCTGGCACTCACCGTACTTAATATCGGGCACGGTGATGGAGCTCTCAGCGATGTTGGTGGAGAGAATAATCTTGCGCGTGCCGGGCGGCGCTCGTAGGAACACGCGCGCCTGCTCGTCGGCCGTGATGGTGGAGTGAAGTGGCAGCACCTGCCACTTGTACCGAGCACACTCGGCGCCGGATATATTCTCCCTGCACAAAATCAAGGCGTATTTTTAGTGTGTTAAGATTTACACTCGCGAGCAAAACTATGGAATCACTTACATAAAGTTGTTTCCACGCGATCTTGTGTACTAACGAATTTGTTAGTAACAAAAAAAGTGGCACCATTTTAAAGATTAAAACTTTTACCTTTCAATTGATACCAAATTCATTTAAATCACACCAGTATTTAAAAAGATATCCCGGTTTATGTGAAGAAGTAAGGAAAAATACATGTATCAACTGTTTGATACGTCGCGAGTTGCGGCCCATTTACCCCCTATAAAAGGACGTGTTTTCGGATTTTTGCTTTCACACGTTGATCCATACACATCTCAGCTTCTTTTGACACTTTACCTGGGATTCTACACCTTCAGAAGCAGCACAAATCCTTGCACTATTGCAAGAAGGGCTCAGCCAGCGGGCTGTCGCATGTCAGCTCCACATAAGCCAGTCCTGGGTTTCGAAAGTTTTAAGACGCTTTCGGGAGACTAGTGGCTTTATCCCGAGACCAAGTTCTGAACAGCGCCAGTGCACATCGCAGAAGGATGACCGTTTTTTCATGTCAACCTCTCTATGAAATCGTCATTTGACTGGTTTTTTTGTTACTAACAAATTCGTTAGTACACAAGATCGCGTGGAAACAACTTCATGTAAGTGATTCCATAGTTTTGCTCGCGAGTGTATTTTTAACGACGATGATAAGCGCTCCTGCACACGACGCCGCCACCGCGCCACCGCCGCGCCGTCGCCGAGCCCCTACACTGTTCATACGCACCGAGTAAAGCCCGCTGCCGCGCCATCCCAACTAATATTATAAATGCGAAAGTAACTCTGTCTGTCTGTCTGTCTGTCTGTTACGCTTTCCCGCTTAAACCTCGCAATCGATTTTGATGAAATTTGGCATAGAGATAGTTTGAGTCCCGGGAAAGAACATAGGATAGTTTTTATCCCGGTTTTTGAAACAGGGACGCGCGCGATAAAGTTTTTCTGTGACAGACAAAAATCCACGCGGGCGAAGCCGCGGGCGGAAAGCTAGTTAAAGCATAATTTCGCCAGTGGCAAATATGTAGAGATTTAAGGCCGTCCCAATTTAGCACACAATTATTTTTTTTTAGTATAATAATACTGAGTGCAACATGCTGTACTCTTTCTTTTCACTTGAATCTTCATTACCTCAATTTGTTGTCCATCAAGCAGTTGTACAAGTCCTCAATCTCATTGATACCAGGCAAAAAGATGAGCACCGAGGACAATTCCACCTGGTTATGATCTTCATAGTTCTCTTCTTGCAAGTCAATATGCTCAAAGGCGTGTATCAACCTGATGACGAGGTGATACATCTCTGGAGCGATGGTAGCCTCCTGGGTTTTGGGTGTTGAATTCTGGACAATCTAAAAATAAATACAAATTTATGACGAGGGGTGATCCAAAAGTAATGATAATGGGATATTTCTAGACAGCATAAAATCATTCAAGTGCTCAATCACGTTTAGAATTACATTCACCTGAATAAGTAAAACGCAAAAATTGAAAAACACAAAGTTAAAGCTGCCTGGAAAAAAAATCTACCAAATCTATTCAGGTTGACTTGCAGATAACATTAGGGAAATGCGGCCCTCCTTATCTCACAATATCACAGTAGTGCAAGACGTAAAAGTAAGCAAGAACATGCACAAAAAACACAAACCACCGCAAATGTGAAAAAATATTACATATATGCAATTAAAAATACGAGTCAACATTTTAAGAGTATGTGGGCCGACGCAGACAATTTTTTGTCTTGATTAGTGACCATTGATATCAGGAATCTATCACTAGAAAATTATAAAACAAAAGCACACAAAAGCTAATAACCGAGAGCTAATAATCTAGAAAAGACCGTCTTTACTAATATCGACAAAATTCAAAGGAAAGTTCGGCACGAATGGTCAAGGCGTCTGTGTTTTGAGAAGCCGAAGATAACCATATAATTTACATGGAAAAGAAAATTACTACAACAAACTGCAATATGCTGACGAAATAAAAATATTACGGTATGCCAAAAAGCAAAAAAAGCGAGGTAAACGCCAGACTTATGGTTCTTGTTTTCTGGGACATACATACCTTATCCTTAAGCCGCGACATTTTGGAAAAAAAGAAAAAGAGTTTTCTAAAATGCTCAAAACCCATATCGTCTACTTGCGAAGATGTGACTTCTCCTACGTTAATCTAATAGGAGATGTCCACTGTCGTCGCAAATTGATGATATATGTATTTAGAGCTGACACATTTGTAGCACTTTTTCCAACATAAAAATAGTTGAGGGACCTGATTTATTTGACGAAATTGTCGACTTTAAGGCTTTTATAGAATAATGAAAATCATTTTTTATAGAGAATAGTGGTCTAGAGAAAAGATGGCTTATGTGTTTTGCTTAGTTAAGATAGTGTGAATAAATAATGTTTTTAAGTCCTAAACATTTTCTTTGGTATTTGGATCACCCCTCATAATAACTATGCTATGATTGCTACCGACCAAACTTATGCAAGATAATATTTATACATAATTGAAAATACAAACTCTAAAAATGAGTATGTAGGATTTGATGGGACACATTTCTACTAAGTGAATGAAAGGTCTTGGTAGACTGCACAAAAATTACAAAACGATTATGCTTGGAAAGTCGCAAAAGGATAAATATACATAGATTCTTACCGCTCCAAATTTGTTCAGGTGGTTCAAATAAAACGTTTTCACAGTGAACATGGGTTCTTTCTTTGTCACTTTAATGCATGAGGACATCTGCAATCCTTTTGGTGTTGGTATAAGGAAATAGTCACCAAACGCTTTGCGGTTGAATGTGGCAGACATGAGCACAATCTTGACTGTTGGAGAGACTGTGTAAAGTAGTTTTTTCACTATAAGCAGCAAGAAGTCCATTTCTTGTCCGCGTTCATGCACTTCGTCCAAGATTATGTGGGTGTATTCATTCATTGTTTTCGCAGAAACTGCAATGTTGAAATTAAACTATTTTTATGTACATGATTATGTGCTGAAGACTTGAATCTGCTGTTTGGGTCTAGGTTAATTAATGTGGAACCGTTTTTAAATTTGTTATTCAAAATAAACAAAGTGATAAAAACTTACCCAATTTTTGCAAGAGAACTCCAGTGGTCACATAATGGATTCGCGTATCTGTTGAAGTCCTGTTTTCAAGTCCAACCTAAGAAAAAATGGTAATTTAAAATCATTATAATTATAACTGACTGGTATATCAATTCTAATTAAAAGCAATGACAGTTATTGCTATCCTCACCTGATAACCAACTAGTCCTCCCACATCCCAACCACGTTCTTGTGCAACTCTTTTCGCGATGGATATCGCTGCAATACGCCTCGGTTGAGTCACAATGACCTTGCATGGTTTGCGATTTTGGTAACTGTCGTCCAGGATCCATTGAGGCACTTGAGTTGTTTTACCACAACCGGTCGGCCCCTCTATGATGACTACAGGAAAGCCACGAATGCGGTCCAGGATCTAGAATAAAGCTTATTTATAGCCCAGACCAAGAAGAATTCAAAAATACTGGAAATTAAATGTAACGCAAAATGTCAAGTTATTTTTAATAGACCCATTGTGTGACCCAAAGGAGGTCACGTGGTTTTGATAAATAATCATTTCAAGCAACACCACTAATTTGGCAAAATAATAATAATAATTCGCATATGAGGTCACCTTATAATATTTTTTATCTAATCCTACTATAAGTTTTTATGGATGTCTGGATGTTTGTTACTCTTTCATGCAAAAACTACTGAATGGATATAATTAAAGCTTTACAGTATTAAAAGTCAAAAATATTTATTCAATTTAGACCACAAGTGGTACTTATTAACCTATAGGCTATAATTTATACCAGGGGTGGTCGATCGCGTCCACCATATTAGTTCAGTCTATCGTGGCAAGGCAAAAAATACTATACATGATTGTGTAGTAAACTATGCTGTTCCATTTAAGATTTCAAGAAGTATGTAAGTGTTAGATCGCCCAGGGTTTCGTTCGTTAGTAAAAAGTTGATCTTATGTCTAATCAAGTTGGCCGCCCCTGATTTATACCAACCCAGATTAACATATAGGCTATAATTTATACCAATCTGTCTGTGACACAAAATTTCATGCGAGTGAAGCCGCGGGCAAAAGCTAGTAAATTATAAAGTTACAAGCTGTGTTCTCTTCAGGGAATTCCCTGAACAGAAAGTATTCTGTTCAGCATATTAATGCTATCTAATGAAATTGTTTATTCTTTTGACTATGGAATTGTTGATTAACAATCGTCCACTAAAGTGATCTGTGGGCTGAGTGCGAGCACACTAGGCCCTCAGATTAAAATTAAACTCAAAACAAAAAAGTTTTATTTAAATCTTTATAGCCTCTCACCTCTTGTTTATATTCATTGATCGCCAAGTTGTTAGTATCTTCTTTTCTTTGGAAGGAGTACTTGTTGTAAACCTCCGTCATCGCCTCCTCAGTCAGTTCTCCAAGGTTCTGCGTAGACGCTCCCCATGACGACAGCTGTTCCAAGGACTCGAGGCCACCGGACACACTATCCCACCTCACCCCTTCAGTTTCATTCTAGAAACAAAACAAATTATGATGTACAGATGACGGCGCATCAAGCTTGACATTGTAGGCTCTGTGAACTTGTAAAATGGGCGAATTTGCTCGTCGGATCGAAAAAATAATGGAATTTTGAACCCCCAAGAACCCCGTCCGGCACCTAGGCCCATAATATTCCGACCTCAAAAAACGGTCAAGTGTGAGTCGGACATAAATTTGCGAAAATTTTACAAGTCTCGGCTCCATACAAAATGCCTTTGAAAATTCGGCTATGTTCTCAGACCCCCCTTGCTACACTAAGTGAAAGCGAAAAATATTACAAGTCCCAGCTCCATACAAAACACGATCAAAAATTCGGCTAAGTCTAAACTCCATACTAAAGCCGTCGAAATTTTTCTAAGTGTCGCACNAGCCTTAAGTAACTTTCCAAATTCAATTTCGTGATCCCTTCACGTAGAGACGTAATTAAATACAAACTGTACGCAAATATTAATTTCTTACTGTACACAACTCTATAACTTATTAGTAATATGTGGCCTGTGACTGAGGTAGCTCACAGACGAGCGACATGTCGGCGATTGCTTGTAATAGTGGTAGGCGACGGTCAGCGACTGTAGGCGACACTCTCCCGAGTCCGACTAGCGCCTTTCGCTGTTATGAATGTTGACATTGACTATACGTAGTGACTATACCTACGTACGTGACTGTCCGTCTTCGAAAGTCGCGATTGTTTGTTAGGATAATTTATAAAATTGCTCGTATTTAGTAATAATTATTAAAATTTTATAAGTATTGGATACCGACTGACGTCAGATCCGGCAACTCGCTTCGTCGGTTCACTGACTCATTCAAGTTCTATTACTCGGTCGTTTATTTATTGCAACAAGCACCGGACAGTCAGTCGCTTTCCAACCACCGCGGACCGCTGTGAACGAACGTCTAAGGAGAGCTAGTGAAGTGTTGTGAGTGTTTAGTGGTGAAATTACTGCTCGAGCAAACCAAGGTTAGTTATTTTTTATGTATGTTGATATAAATTAATTAATATTAGTGCTTGGTTGATTTGTTTCACTCGTACACTGAACACCTTTTATAGTTCTTGCAACTCACGAAGGCGAGTGAGCTTGTGTACGTGTATCTACCTCGCGTTCGTGAATTGCAAACAACTAAGTATACGACGCCTAAACAACTGTCGGCGTTCGCCGACTTTAATCGCAAGCAGTCGCCGACATAATGTCGCTCGTCTGCGAACTCCCTAAGCTTCAACTGACCCTAGCAAGAAGTTGTAACGTTCTATTTAATCAAACAAAGGCACGTTTCTAATTAACAAGCGGTAGGCGGCAAGAAGTGTGTTTGCGGTGCCAAGTTTGCGATATACGCCGCAGCACCGCAAATCTGTGTACGTGGAAGCCGTGGAATTATTAACGTAACCACAGTTCAAATAATCTGTTAATATTATATTACTGGGGAAAATTCAATGTTTATTTCGCTAGGTTCATATTCCCCCGTTCCTCTCGTCAGTGACGTCATATTACAACGGGATTTGTTTAAATTGTGTTTCAAACAATGAATTTATTTACGGAATGGTCGAATATTTTGAGACCTACAAAATTGGTTTTAGATTTTAACGTACCTATATTGTTTACATACATAATTTGTAGTTTACAGATGAAATAAAACGGCTTGAAAATACATTAAAATATTTTATTTCGTCGAGCTATAAAAATATCCTATACAATATCAATTATCAATTCGTATCTATATTCCATTACAACATAATTTTAGTGATACATTCATGTACGCAATATTAAAAGTTATACATATAAAGTCTACATGCATTCCAATTTTTGGGACTGAACCCTTTTCATGATAGTACGACGCGGACAAAATCGAGTAAAAAGTGTATAAAAATGTGGAAAGTCGGTGAGATCTCGGAGCGTCGAATAAGGTAGTTCATTGGAGTAACCTGAAATAAGAAAAATAACTTCAGAATCTATCTAATTGACGATTGGCGATTGACAGAACCTTACTCTACAGTGGCGCCATCTTGATGAGTGCAAATGCGATAGTCCTCCTACCACTTTAGCGCTCACCAGTTGGCGCCACTGTCTTCGCTACTAGCAAGTGACCAGACCTTACTCTACAGTGGCGCCAACTGGTGAGCGCTAAAACGATAGCCCTCATTAAAATGCTACTAAAGATTAGCCATGTGCTTCCCGCGACCATTCCTACATCCTAGGTTGTTTTTTTACAAAAAAATACAAAATATTTTATTCATAGACACAAATCACTTATTACTAACTTTTCATCTGGATCAGGATCAGGATCTCATCCTTTTAAGTTTTACCAACTTGTATAGGTATGTTCTTGATAAGGTTACTTGGTTCTCCTACGGTTCTTTCCCACGGTAATCCAGTATTAATGCGTGAACACACAAGTTATGTGTTTGAAATTCGAATTAGAACGGACCTATTTTTTTACACACTACAAACGGGATGTTCGTGAGAATTTTAATATTAAAACACGTATACTATAAAATGGGATCCTGGAAAAACGTCATAATATCTGTGGAAAAGAGCCCTAAAACGACTGAAAGAAAACTGAACCTAGATAAATACCTTGACAACCGCTAGGTGTCGCTAGCTGACGGGCGTAGAGGAACTGCTCTTGCTCATAAGCTTGGCGACCATTTCCTGCACCCGCTTCATTTCCTCCAGCTGTGACGTCAGTTGGTACAATCGGTTCTCGCGCTCTGCCACTGTCTTTTCCAGCTGTTTTATCATCTGTGGCAGAATTAGTTATTACGAAGCATCTATCAATAAATTGTAAATATTAATTTTCAGATTGAGAACATTTTTGACATAAAAATTTTTGCAAACTACTATAAACTAAAATAATTATTGTCACTCTGTTACTTTTTAACACGCCTAGATTATTGCATCAATTTTTATAAAGAAACATTGAATGGAAATAATTGATCGATTAAGTATTGTATTTTTATGGACTGATATTTGATATTTTTGTAGTGGATAAACTGATTTATTTAATCAGGCCGATGAAACGTTGGTGTAACTTAGAGGAGACTAAATTACCTGTATGACTAGGGTACACTTTTATCGAGGTATTTTACAGATTTTACACGATTGGTCTAAACATTTGTAATCTAAAATCGTCGATAAAATGGCCTGATGATGTTGATTATACAAGTCTAGTATATGTAGATTGTTTTATCCACGAAGACGCGCCCTACCATTCTTCCGCTAATGTTTGAGTGTTAATGGTACACGCTAAATTATCCATGAGTGCACACGCACACTACAATAATGACGCTCGGATTGCTCGGATCAAACTCATCGCATCCCGCGCTTCCCTCGTCCAAACATTGGTGGGGCGCGTCTTCGTGGATGAAACGATCTATCTACAGGGTGGAAACGTTAAGTGATCTCACTCGATTATTTCTAAACTATACAAGATATCGAAAAACTGATGACTGATTCTGAAAGTACTTCACAAGGTCTTTCAAACGGTACCAATAATAGGTTACATAATAAACTGGATCTATCCGAAAATTAAATGTTTTCAGGCTCCATACTAAATGTATGCCAGTCAAACAAAATTAGAAGTATTATTTTTTTTTATTAAACAATAAACACTTAAAATGAACTCGTAAATTGCATTCTTATTTAAAATTATTCATGGAGAACATTGGTTTTAGGCTTTACTTGCTATAATATTATCAAGACATGAGTGCCATGACTGTGGCTGTACTAAATGTATGGAAGCTGGAAACATTGAATTTTAGGATGGATCCAGTTAATTTTGTAACCTATTATTGGTATCGTTGGATAGAGCTCGTGAAGCACTTTCAGGATCAGTAACCAGTTTTTCGTTATCTTGTATAGTTTAGAAATAGTCGAAAGAGATCACTTATCGTTTCCACCCTGTATAGTAACTGCGACTGGACTTACCGACTCCTTGTGGTCTATCTCCCTTTTCAGAGCCGCCTCCGAGGCGGCAGCGTCCTCTAACTTCTTGTCGCGCTGTTTGACGCGCTCCTCGAACTTTATCAGCACGCCAGCCAGCTCGCTGTTTTTGGTTGTCTATGGTAGCAGAGTAAATACAAATGAGTAGGTCATTTTCATAGAAACGCACCGAGCGCGGTTAGTATGTGAGCGCGCCAACACGTATGCGGCGCGCACGCACATACTGACAAAATTTAGAGTGGATTAGCGGGGAGTTGCGCTGATGATAGGCAATAATGATGAAGTTTTGTGTATTAGTCATTTAGTGAAAATAGGGTATAGTCTTTTTCACGTAAGATGATCCGTATGACGTTTCGAGTTTGAAAGTTATAGAGATGTCACATAACTAAACCATAGCGATTTATCTATCGATTGTTTTCTAAGAGTTAGTAAAACCTACTTTTAGAGAAATATTTTGTATAGGTGTCATTCAACAAAAAACATGTTTTTTTTAATTACAAATATTTTTGTAATATTTTTTTATTGATAATATTCAAATTCCATGGACTTCGTGTTCAAAAAAACGTTTCCTCAAAAGTACTGGCTCTATTTCTTTAAATTAAAAACTATTAATTTATTTTCAATGCTTTTATTAAAGTCAACAATCGAAAAATATAGTTGACTTTTGTGATGTTTTTAATAATTAAGTATTCACTGCAATCGATTAATGAATCTATTTTGTAATCGATTTTGTTATACAACAAATACCCCAGCACTAAATCTATTCCGTTTCACACATTGCGTACATTAAATAAAAAATATTTTTACATCGTATTTAATTAAAATATAATCAATAGACTCAGATTTTACTATATATTTCAAGACAAGTGGTTATTTTTTTTTATTATATTGCTAATACAATACAAATATTTTTTCAAAAATATTCTGCATAAGTATACAGTATGCGTAATATGGATAACCTTGAAGTGTCATACGGATCATCTTAGGTGAAAAAGACTATAGTTGACAAGATTAATACTCAAATCAGATATATACTTATTATTATTTAATCAGAATTCAGCCTTTTGTGTGAAAATAGGGATAGCGATGTCACTTCTTCTTGTCGCCTATTCACTTAAATAGTGACAGCCCAAAACTTCGCTACAAGAGTGGCGTTGCCAGTAGCTTTCATTAAATCTTCCGCAGCAGTTTTTTGGGCACGAACGACATTATGTGCTTCATCGACTGTCATTATCGATCAACTTTTTATCGATTTCAATGCAAGAAATCATAATTTACAGTTGATTTAAGACTTCTTTTAAGCGAAGTGTTTTTTTTAAAGAAGTCTCTAGCCCAAACCACACAAAATAGAGTTTTATTGCTTTTGTTTCACTCCGTTTAAGAGTCAAAACTATTAAATTCAATTACCTATCAGCAAACAGATGCAGATGCCGGAACAGCAAATGTTCCGGCAGTTAGAGGTAAGATAGCCAGTTCCTCCGTGGTTGAGGATTCCGGGTGAAGCTCGATTCCACCTTCGGTCTGATCGTCACTTACCATCAGGTGAGATACAGGCCAAGAGCTTCCTCGTTGTGGATAAAAAAAAAGATATCCCGCTCGATTTGAACCTGTTATTATAAAATAAATTAATACAATAAACGTACCTGCTGTTCTAGCTTCTTCTGCAGCGCTTTGTTTTCAGTTTCAGCTTGTTTTAGCCTCTCTTCGGCCTCCCGCTCGCGTGTCTTCATCTCATTTTCTATGGTCTAGAAAATAAATAGTATACGTCATTGATAAAGAACTAACATTTATACACACACATACATAACATAAATAAAGAGAAAATACCCCTGATATAAAGTCGCAACCAATAAAACGAAGTTAATTAAAATAACATACAGACGAATTGAGAATCTCCTCCTTTTTTAATTTGGTTAAATCTACTAAAGTCCATAAAACAATAAAAAAACATCAGTTTTGATTTAACTGATTCAAATTTAAGATTTTCGAAGGTCAACATTTTCCTACCATGTGTACCAATTTCTAAATTAATTTTAGGTCCTACATCAAAGATGATGATATAATTTGCGATGTGCATATCTTTTAGATTCTAGCTTTCTTTCTTGTAATGTAACAACGCATGTAAAATGATATGTTGTTGGTAAATCTTTATTTTTAACAATAAATAAATATGCCTGATAAAGATTTTAACTGAAACCAAACTTATACATATCTAAGCCAAGTTTTTACAAAGTAATACATTTATTTATTCTTATAATACTCACAGCAATTTGGGCCCGGAACTCTTTATGAAGATGTTCCTTCTGATTGTCCTTGTCCAGTCTCTCTGCTGCAAGCTTCGCGCGGAACCCTCGCAATGTGGTTTCAGCATCTTCCAGCTGTTTGTGGAGGTCCTCTATGGTCTTTTTGTGTCTATGGATGGAGAAAAAAGAATTTTTAAGTGGAATTTTCTGATTGGCCGCATTAAATATGAAGACTGCCAACGCCATCTATATTGTAACTTCGTAAGCCTGCAACGCCATCTAGGTTGATAAAACGTCAATGCCATGTAAATGAGAAATGAGTATGCATTATTTTTATTTATTTTATTTAAAACTAGCTGACCCGGCGAACTTTGTTCCGCCTTAATGGCAATAAATAAGCAGACTTTCTTTAAATTTCGAACGGGATAAAAAGTATCCTATGTCCTTCTCCTGGCTCTAAACTACCTCCCTGACAATTTTCAGCTAAATCGGTTCAGCCGTTCTTGAGTTATAAGCGAAGTAACTAACACGACTTTCTTTTATATATAGATGAGTATAAAATTATAAATAATATTTTTTGATTACACAAACATCGTGTAAAATATTTTTCATTCAAAGAATACATAAAAAAACATGACGTGATGGAAAACAGAAATAAATACTTTTAATCATATCTTTGAGCTTAAAACATAAAAAAAAACTTCTAAATTACCTACTTAGCAAAATTTAATACAATGCAAAACAAAACCTATAAAATGGTTAAAAAAAATCAAAAAGATTTATGCATCGGCCGGGAATCGAACCCGGGCCGCCCGCGTGGCAGGCGAGCATTCTACCACTGAACCACCGATGCTACATTCACAAGGACGAATTTACCGTACCAAAGATAACAGCAGCAAGCATTTATAACGTGACGAAACCAGTTCTTGGTCACACGTAATAAGGTTGAAAGTCGTATATTCGCGGTTCATATGAAAGTCAAGATGGCCACTTACTTTTCGTTTTGCATCTGTGTTGTGTATAGAACGTCTTGTTGTGATGAGTTCGTTGCTTGTAGCATAGCTAGGGAGTGTTGTAGAGACGCCATGTGTTCACTTGCTCCCTATAATATAAATAAATAAACAATTAAAAAGTAAATATAGGAAGTCAGGATGTCTGGCAGATATTTTATATTTTCATTAACAATGATGTTTTCGTCGTGATTTTTAGGCATAACGTAATGATGGTTGCATTATTAGTAGATAATATTTTAGATTTCCCAAAATTTTCTAAGTTAAAATTATAATTTTACTAAAGCAGAGCTGTAGTGCTTAATACACTCGGCGTGAAATAAATTGCACCTTCCGCGACAACAACTTTAAAGATTTTCATACAACACAATCATGGTGCCCCAACAATATTGGTGTTATTTGAAAGCCCGAGTTTTTTGAAGCCGAGGTTTTATAAATGTGTCGTATTTATGAATTCAGCTATGGTTTATGAAACTTACTTGCAACGCTACAGAGTGAGAGTGCAGTCGTTGTTCCAGGCAGGTCATTTTGTACCCATACAGCTCCATTACACTCGAGGTTGCGATGTCTTTTATCTGTAACAATTATTATAGTTATTATGATGAATACGCCATTAAACAGCTGAGTTGGTTACATTATGGGATCAAGAAAAATCGGTTCTAAAAGAACAGACTATCCCTGTCGCTCACGCTGGCATCTCGCTTGGTATGAGAGGGATGGAAACATTAGAACGTTTACGTTTATGCGAGGAGCCCCATAAGTGTATGCACTTGGCCAGCGTGCAGCGAGGTAAAGAGTGAGCATGAGGACCGCTCCTCCAGGGCAACTCCAAAACGTCGTTGCGTTTAGTTTCGGGTGTATCTGTCACTTACGCTGGCATCTCCCTTTGTGTGAGAGGGATAGAACTATAGTCTGTTCTGTGAGCACGTAGAATTTTGTCCAATGACCCCAAGCTACCCATCATTATCGCTCGCGCGTAATTATATTGCTGTCGCGACTGTGCGACGGGCGCCCGCAGTGAGTGTGCAAGCGTGATAAGGATGGGTAGCTTGGGGTCATTGGACAAAATTCTACGTGCTCACAGACCGGGCTTTACACATTTGGCCTTTGTGTAGAGCAGTAATGACAATCGCCGTCACCGTCAGGGCGCGGGGACGCCTCGGAGGGGTGACGTCACCGTGCAGGCTGCTGTATACACACCTGGCCCGCGTGTAGAGCAGCAGTGAGCTGGTGCAGCAGCTGCGAGATGGCGTGTTCCTGCGCGGGCGGCACGCGCTGGGTGACGTCACCGTGCAGGCTGCTGTATACACACCTGGCCCGCGTGTAGAGCAGCAGTGAGCTGGTGCAGCAGCTGCGAGATGGCGTGTTCCTGCGCGGGCGGCACGCGCTGGGTGACGTCACCGTGCAGGCTGCTGTATACACACCTGGCCCGCGTGTAGAGCAGCAGTGAGCTGGTGCAGCAGCTGCGAGATGGCGTGTTCCTGCGCGGGCGGCACGCGCTGGGTGACGTCACCGTGCAGGCTGCTGTATACACACCTGGCCCGCGTGTAGAGCAGCAGTGAGCTGGTGCAGCAGCTGCGAGATGGCGTGTTCCTGCGCGGGCGGCACGCGCTGGGTGACGTCACCGTGCAGGCTGCTGTATACACACCTGGCCCGCGTGTAGAGCAGCAGTGAGCTGGTGCAGCAGCTGCGAGATGGCGTGTTCCTGCGCGGGCGGCACGCGCTGGGTGACGTCACCGTGCAGGCTGCTGTATACACACCTGGCCCGCGTGTAGAGCAGCAGTGAGCTGGTGCAGCAGCTGCGAGATGGCGTGTTCCTGCGCGGGCGGCACGCGCTGGGTGACGTCACCGTGCAGGCTGCTGTATACACACCTGGCCCGCGTGTAGAGCAGCAGTGAGCTGGTGCAGCAGCTGCGAGATGGCGTGTTCCTGCGCGGGCGGCACGCGCTGGGCCCACGCTCCCTCGCCGTCGCCGTCAGGGCGCGGGGACGCCTCGGAGGGAGTGACGTCACCCATGCAGTGGAGGCTCTCGCCGAACACCTGGATAGAAGTCGGCCGTTTGGTGTAGTGGTTCAGAACGGACTACTATGCCGAGAGGTCCCGAGTTCGATTCCCGGCCGGGCAGAAATTGAAATGATGAATTTTAATTTCTGTGACGGGTCTGGGTGTGACTATGTATAATATTTATGTATTTAAAAAAAAGTATATAAGTAGTATATCCGTTAAGCTAGCACCCATAACACAAGCATTAAGTTGCTTACTTTGGGGCTAGCTGGCGCTGTGTGAAATTGTCCAAAGATTTGTCTAGACCCACAGTATTGTCTTGTCTAGACCCACAGAAACGGAATGAGGGCTATCGTTTTAGCGCTCACCAGTTTGCGCCACTGTAGACTAAGGTCCTGTCACTTGGTAGTAGCGAAGACAGTGGCACCAACTGGTGAGTGCTAAAGTGGTAGGATTATCGCATTTACACTCATCGAGATGGCGCCACTGTAGAGTAAGGTCCTGTCAATCGCCAGGGGTGCCAACTGTTAAGTATAAAAACGATAGCCCTCATTAGGACATTGTCTACGCAACTGCTATCGAGACGACAATAAGAATGATATGGTAGCGATAAATATTACAGCAATAAAGCGCTTGTTTGCTTCAGCCGTTAACGGGACGTCACCGAGAAACGACATGATAAATATATAACACTGAACCGTCCCAGCTATGACATTGTCAAGAGGGCGCTACTTAAATACTGGAATATTAGTTCCAATTTTTGTCACATTGGACAATCTTATTTATGACATTTAGGAGAGCGCTATTATCAATACTGGATTAGTTTTTGTTTTTTGTCACTTAACGTTTCAGAATCGTTTGACTATATTCGAAGCAATAGTGACGGCAGGCAAGCACTCTGAGCGAACATGCGTCCAAGGAAAATATAGCACTACCTGTAAATCGAAAGTAAAAAATTAAAATAACATAAAACATAGCTATCGCAGACTTCAACGAACCTGATTCATTTGATCCGAAGGGAAGTAGTGATGCTTGACTAGTTGCAGGATCTGTCTCCGCCTGGCGCCGTTGCCGCTCGTAAGCCCAGCGCATAGCAGTTTGCGGACCTGATTGAATTACAAGAACATGATTTATACGAGGCGACAAGAAAAATTAATACGAACTGAAGTTAGCTTTTTTTCTATAAATTATTATGGACATGGTTGATATGTACAGGGTGTCTTAAAGTTGGGCGGACTTGGGCGTAAGGCGCGGTTTCCAAAAATGTTTTCAATAACCATCATTGTCATTATTCAGGAAACCAGGAAATCTGATTGGTTATTAAAAACACTTCTCTAATTTCACGAATTTTGAGATATGACCAATTTTAGTTATTTTTAAAATGGACATAATTACACTTATTCGATGCGTCTTATAGGCCCATCAAGTCCCGGTGTCAGTGTGACGTGCTAACATTGTTTCAGTATGATAAATGGCACTAAATGGTTCGTGTGATATTACACTCGGCGCTGGCTACCCAGTTTCTTTTCTTGAACTTGGCTTGACACACTGCTGCGTATCTAGATATGTCAAAATGACAAGTTTATTTTTAAATTAAATGTTATCAGACGATTGAAAAAGGCTTTAGTGTATTATTACCTGATGATGGGCCAGTAGCCTGTTGAGCGCGGCCTCCCAATCCCTGGATAAAGGCGCGAGCGCTAAAGCTGTTCTGCAGCCCACCACTACCGATTGCTGGGCTGACTCCTGTCCTACTTGGCCGTTCTGGAACGAACAAAAGCGCAAACCTATTGTATAGTCTGGTCTGGGAGCACGTAGAATTTTGTCCAATGACCCCAAGCTACCCATCCTTATCGCTCGCGCCTAATTATGTTCCTGTCATGCTCGCACACTCACTGCGGGCGCCCGTCCCACAGTCGCGACAGTAATATAATTACGCGCGAGCGATAAGGATGGGTAGCTTGGGGTCATTGGACAAAATTCTACGTGCTCCCGGACCAGACTATACATAACACACCACGTTAAAGCTGAAAAAATATACCCCTAGAATTTGTAGGACAACACAAACTAATAATTTTACTGTTTTTCCCTAATCAATGACATACTTTTGTAAGGCACTACAAGCCGTTAACGGCACTATCAATTATCTCAAATAAGCAAAAGTATAACAATTTTTTAATGAATAATTGAAAATTGAATTATTCATCAGTTTCATCAAATTATTTGTGAAGTGTCCGATCCCCTATTGTTGCTAAAATATTTTGAACTTTGTAAAAACAAAAAATAAGGTAACAAAGCAATGGTATAATAAGACTATTAGCCATGGGAGTTGATATGAATTTAGTAGTCTAGAAATGCGGGAGAACTTATTGAGTTCGATTTCCAAATGGGACTTTTTAATTTTATCCCCATCTGTTGGAAATATGGACTGTCCAAGAAGACTGTATAACTATACTAAGATAATATTGTATTATACTAACTTGTGACGTATACTGCAACACACTATACAACATATCTTCGAAGTTGTCTGGAGTGACTTCTTGGAGCACGCGCTCTTGCGTTTCTGTTGATTCGCACAGCGCTCCCACTACTTGCAACTGAAATATTAAGTTTTTATTTAGTACACTAGCGGGCCGCCTCGGCGTCGCAACGGGGAGATAAAGGTATTCAACAAAAATTTCAAAACCCATGAATTTTTTTATGGCAAATGTTTGTCTTTTTTTATAAATTTTCCTTTTTTTTATAGTTATTCTAATATTCGGAACATAGACAAACCGGAGAGTTCAACGTACCCACTGCACGCCCGCTTTGCCAGGCTCCAAGGCCGGCGACACCAGCAAGCCTGGGAGCCCGTCGCTTATGACCAGTATCAGCTCATGCGGAACCCGGCCTTCGTCTGAAAGATATTTCATTTCCTTAAACATTACTAAAGCCCGGTCCGTGAGCACGTAGAATTTTGTCCAATGACCCCAAGCTACCCATCCTTATCGCTCGCGCGTAATTATATTGCTGTCGCGACTGTGCGACGGGCGCCCGCAGTGAGTGTGCGAGCGCGACAGCAACATAATTACGCGCGAGCGATAAGGATGGGTAGCTTGGGGTCATTGGACAAAATTCTACGTGCTCACGGACCAGACTATAGCTTAGCCCGCATACATTGACATAAATGTTGGCAGTGGGCTTAGTGCGTCGTCGCTAGCGAGTGTGTCGAAAAAATCTATGAAAATATTTTAGTTCTTGAAAGTATTCGCTAGAGACGCTGTACAATCCGTCATACATTTGATGTATTTTTTTACGCAATCCATATCGAATACGTTTGATATAAACTCACACTCGATGAAGTAGCATCAGCAAATATGATACATACGTATTTGATAGTTCTTGCTTGCCGCGATAAACTTTTTGGTTATGTATTTATTTATGTGCATGGAATCTTTTTTCTTTTTCTTTTTTATGCACAAGGCAGGTATTTGACCACAATCGCACCTGATGTTAAGTGGGATGCAGTCTAGGATGGTACATATCTGCCCTGTAAGTGCCTATTCACTCTCGCCTTGAAGAGGCCCGGATTATAGTTTTCGGGAAAGACAGCAGCAGGCAGGCAACATCTACACCGTACGTTTTTGCGAGAAATAATTGAAAATAGTTATTCGCTTCTTCTTCTAAGATAACCGCACATCTTCGTTTATTAGTAATTATTATTATAAATTATTGATTACCTCTGTATTGTAAAATAATGGCGGCAAAGAGCTCCAACGCCTCGGGCAAACAAATGCGGCTCGCCTTCATACACAGGCAAACCAGCTGGCTGTGGTGACACCGCAGCGAATATAAATCTAGAAAATAGAATAAAGTTGTATATTTTTCTCCGTTTTCGCGACGAATCAGCCTGTAAGAACCATTAGAAATTGCTCTTATAAAAGTATAATGTGTAAAAAGCCCAGTTCAATCCAAAAGGGGGCCAATCTGGTGTAATTTTTTCCAATTTTATACAAAAAGTTGTATTTGAGAAAATTAACGTCTTTTGAAACTTATTTTTTCATAAAAAATACATGCTTTATGTAAGATATAAATGGTTGCTAGTAGGCCTAGGATGCGTACCATGTCAACCATGATAATAAATCGATGCATTTAATCGATTTTAAGCATATTTGTCGCCTAAAATCATTGATAAGATTTTATCATTATCACCGACAAGGCATGTCTGGTAAAAATCTAGTAGTGTAATAAAAGGTGAGTAAAAACATTAATATTACCTAAACTAACAATAACTGTAAGGAATTTCAGCGCGTTTCTGACGCAGTTGATCAACTGTTCCGGCTCCGGCGCATCGTCTGGGTTTATCTTGCACAGGCTGTCCACATCCTGAAGTAAAAGAATACAAAGTCAATAATAACCATAGTAGTTTCATATATTACCTGCAATATCTATGGTGCATTATGGAGGTCATTTTAAAGAGCTAAGTAACACGTGATTACAACTATGCATTGGCGCAAAAATATGCGCCTTAGCACACAAAACTTTAATGAAGTTGATAACTTCTTTGCCCATGAAGCCGGATTTATTTTTTTCTGACCTGTTGTGTTGTGTTTTCACACCTTAAACGACACTCCACTTTAATGTTTGAAGCCGATTCCGTTTTCATGTGTCACGACAAAATTAAATATACATAAATCCGGCTTAATGCGCTAGCATTCAAACTTACTTGAGAACTGTCGAAACAGTACAATAATGAAATAAAGTTTTTCTTGGTATGATTCTAATTTCTCGATTATTTCATTCATCTTAATACCTTCACGCCATCGTTCAAGGCTTGCGAGAAGTGCGAGTAGGTAAGCACGAAGCCGCGCAAGTTGCTATCGCTGCACAGATCGTTGATGAAAGTGTACGCGTGCAGAAGCTGCGTTGCGTCTTGCTCGCTGGAACATAGAAACGAGTGTAATATAGGTAGTTATTTGGTGTAGACATCCTTATTTGATACATGCGTCATGCAGCTTAAAATTAAGTGGGTTACACATCATGGCCTATAGTTTCTAAAGCTAGGTTTTACAGTCAATGTTGATAAGGAGACAGATGTGAAAATAAACACTGAAAATATTGAGCATGACTGAGAAAATGCTTTTTAGTCTACAATTCTAAATACTAAAAGCGTTACCGTGTCAAGCCAACAGATACATTTTTTATTACAAATAAGTATACCTAGTATAGACAATGACACATCAAGAACAATACTGTTGCAGCATAATAATATGATGAGTGGCGAAGGCTAGTTGCCTAAAAAAATTTTTTTAGTCCGTAATGTTTAATATCAAAAAATATTGGACACATATATTTTTATTTGTCAATCTAACAAATAATTACATAGTTATGATGCGTTGAAGTTGCGCACGACGTCACAACGTGCGGCATTTTTAAGCAAGCGTTGACGTCACGGGCCTCTTCTTATGAACTTTGGGGCGCTTTATCTCTTTAAATTTTCATTAGTTTGAAAAAGTGAAAAATACGTGTAGAGTATTTTTTGATAAGTTAACTGACGGACTAATTAAAACTCTTGCTTTTTGACCCAGGCAACATCCCCATTGTAAGCATTCACTTGATAGACCGGTGACCTGGCGAAGGTCGCGGGAAGCTCCTGGATGCAGTATTGATGTGGAAATCAGATCCAGATTTAGAACTTCTGGCTGTCGTAATCAAACCAAGCCCTTCAAGGAGATCTTAGTCCAGCAGTGGACATCTTCAGCTAAGAATGAACTTACACAATAGCCTTATTGAAGGTCCGCATGGTGCAGTTCAGATAGCTATGCACGTCGGGCTGGCGAGTCGCGGCCGCGCCACGCGTTGCTCCAGATAAGCACAGCAGGAGTCTGCATACTTCTACGCCGCCGTAACCACCGTCCTGAAGATATTAGTAGAATATAGTAGATATAAGGACACCATGCAAATACTAACAAGACTGACAGTTTAAAAATATATACAGAAAACCTAGAAAAGAACAGTTGTTTAAAAGAAATTAAAGTTGGAAGGGAGCATTCTCCCTTTTGACTTTTTAGTAACATTATTGCAAGCTTATAAAATGTAGTGTAGGTTCATTCTTTTGTTAAATTTGGTTTGGTAAGGTTCAGTTCAGTCAGTTCAGTTCCTATCAGTTTGACCACAAGGATGTAGCTATAAGGAAAAAGACAGCACAACAAGCTTTTTTTTAAATTTCTACCACAATAAGTACATCATATCTATCAGATTTCTTATTTAGCAAAACTTATGGCCTGTTCTGAGTTTGGTTTCCCAATTTGCCTACACTATAGACTATCATAATAAAAATAGACTAGCTCTAGCTTATACCAGGCCCGTAAGCCTGTTCATCTCCGCGAGTTTACATCGAAAACAAAACACGCACGATGGCCCACCTACAGGATACTATTCGACAAGGCCTCACATACGAGCGAACATTGACTCACGCACGCGTATTCTTGTGTATGATGGAAGAAAATAAAGAAAATGGTGTAATAAATACTGTGCAGTATTTACTGCCTAAATAATAATAAAAACACAGAATGTACTTTTTTAAGTTGCCTCAAGACACTGAGAGGTAAATAAGTAGTTAATATTATTCATGATAATTCATGCTAAATCATGTATTTCCTCCGCCATTTTCCGTAGTTTGGCACCTCACGTCACATCATTTTACCGAAGTCAGCCCTATAGCTTCGGCGCAGTGACGTTTGTCAACAAAATGGTGCTTGACTCTTGAGACAGGCTAAATTACACCATATTGTTAATGACATTGAGCATACATTTTTTAAATACCTTCGCGAAGTAAAACTTCTGTACGTAGTACTTATTATTATTCTGTGCTTATACCTTCAAGCTAATAAGATGCACAACAAAATCCTTAGTGTCCACAGTCCTCATAAGAGCGTATATCGCTGGCAAGTTTCCGTAGCACACATTTACGAGTACAGTGAGCGATTTGTGCCCAATTGTGCGTTCCTGAGGCTCCGTCATGGGCTGGGTGATCCAGTCCGTCAGCTGTTTCATCAAACTTGACAAGTATGACTCCTGCCAGCTTATTTTAATGCCATATGATATTTCCTGAAATAAAAAGGACAAAAAAAATTAAGAATATCATAGTCATGTGTGTAACCCTACTAAGTGTTATGAAAAGTAGCTCAAAAAATGTATTATACCTAATTAATTTGAAAAAGCCATTTACCTGCATTACTGACAGAAGTTTGATTTTCTTGTCATTTGATATTGTATCTGATAACAGTCTGGATAGAATTGGCATAAATCTGTAAAAAAATAATAAGATAAATTCTAGAGATTCATTCAGAAATTATTTACTTACTAGCAGAGTGCTAGAAAAGCTTCACAAACTATTTCAAGAAGTTGAAGTAAGAAAGATATTAAATTATAAAACTTACTTGTAAGTGTGCGTCAACGCATGTCTAGCGCTCGGCTCTATTGCAGCACGAGACAACACAGCCACACCAGCCCAATGTGGGCATCTGCTATCGCACATTACTCGCCACAAGGAACTAAAGAAAGCACACACTTCCGACCGCCCAGGAGAGAATATTGTCAGGTCACATGATGAGGCGATGAGCTACAACAAATAAAACACATTAACTTCACCTTCTGAGCTCAAAATCCAGGGTTTTCCATTCAAGGAAGTTACAGTCGGCAAACTTACACCCAAGTACCGGTTCATCATATTAACAGCAGATTCACTATGAGTTGCCTCAAACTCACGAGCAGCAGTCACAAACGCTTTCAAATTGGCAAATTTTCCTCCGTCTGGAGGATTATTCCAGGTTTCTACACTATCCACTTCCATTGTCACGCGTTGTATCGTATTTTCTTCAATTTCTTCTAGCAACTTGAAATAATACCACTGTAAAGCTGAATACTAAATTATTGATGTGAAAGGTTATTTGAATAAGCCACAAATATGTACAAAAATTCTCAAAAAATTAAAATAATCCCGTTTCAAAGTTTTAATTTCAACTGTTTTCTCTGTCAAAGAATTTGACGCGCGGCCATTTTTATTGTTTATAAAATACTCAATTCCTATTGGTCCATCAAAGTTTACAGATAAAGAACTAATTTCTAGTAGGCAACTCTGTGGTAGGCATAAGGTCACGGTTATGTGTACGACTAAAAAAATGTGAAACAAAAACAATTGTCTATGAATATGATTAGTTGACAGATGTCATTAAAAAAAAAATGTTTGACATTTTCATTTTCCATTCCATTTTTCACACGATTTCTCAGCTCCGCCAAACGGAACTAAAAAGTCCTGTTATCTTTTAATTATAATTGCATTTATACTTTAAACAATGGGAGTTGATATAGAAACCCTTTCTCCTGGCAATGGTGCGTTGTTTTTTTGATATCCTCTTCAATGCTGTCATAACCTAAAAATATTTTTTTACAAGGCTTTCGTTCGCTTTCCAGGTTCTACGTACCCTAAACCTGGTCAGACAGTAGTAGTTCATTACACAGGCACGTTGCAGAATGGGAAGAAGTTTGACTCCTCAAGGGATCGTGGACAGCCCTTCAAATTCACTCTTGGGAAGGGTGATGTTATCAAGGGTTGGGACCAAGGACTCGCTAAGGTAAATAACATGTAGTGTAATTATAAAAATAGTATACAACTCCACATCTTGACACGCGGATCCACAACTTTGCATTGTAATGCGGCCATAGTCCTTTGAGCAACAAATATAGTCAAATACACAGACGCGGCGCAGGACCGGTCTTCGTGGAAATCCTTGGGGGAGGCTTTTGTCCAGCAGTGACGTCTTTCGGCTGAAACTAATGAACCGCAGTCACTATTATCCACTTTCCAAGATGAGTAATAGAATGCGTCGCCACCGTGTTGGTTACTATAGTTGTTGCAAACTTTACATCCAGCACAATTGTAACCATGACAAGAGCTTTATTTTTATTAGTTAAAAAAACTACATTTCACCTAATTTTTTTAACAAAAGATTTACTGGTATCTTATTTCAGATGTCTGTAGGAGAAAGGGCTAGACTGACATGCTCCCCTGACTTCGCTTACGGCTCGAGAGGCCACCCCGGAGTCATCCCTCCCAATTCTACTCTAATCTTCGACGTTGAACTTCTACGTGTGGAATAACTTAATCTCTTGCCATAATTTGTATGTTTATATCATTGTTATGTTTACATATTTTTCTCATAGAGTATGAGCACTTACATTGTATTGTTCACATCAGTATTTAGTATTATTGTAATTTAGACAATTGGATTAATTGGTAATGCTTATTTATAAATTTTAAGGTAATTGTTGACAAAATACACTGAAGTGTCTTATAGGCTGTCTCCTCCTGATAAAATATTTTAGTTGGAGTGCTTTATGCATTATTATGTATTTTTACATGAAACATAGGTGTACGAAGTTAAATGCATTTGGAGAATAATCTTGCCTTTTCTAGAATAAGTGTTCTCAGAAAAATCTTATATTGGTTATTTATCTGATGATGAAATATTATATTACTATTATTATACATGCATTTATGCTAATGCTACAAATTTTATAGTTGTGATTACACAAATAATATAACTAGATTTGTTACTTTTGGGATACTGTCTGAATTCTATTGCATTTGACATCTTATTTTTAATTCAATGTGTTGTTTAAATGTTATCATAATTATTTATAAGGTTGTGGAAAATCTTTATCTGCTACAGCTGGGCTAGCTAACATAAAGTTATGTTAAAAAAACTTAATTTTCTGACCTCAAAATATTAATCTTAATAAAAAAGCTTTGTGTATAAATTGTTTTATTTATTTCATTATAGCTATAGCACCATCACCATAATGTCTTCTTTGGTAACCAACCCATAACATAAAATAGTTTTTTTTCTATGATATCAACTGCCAGGACTGTAATTCATAAGAGGAACAACAGTATTCTTTGTAAAAGGTGACCTACAAAGAGCACATGTTTCTAAAGCTCCGTATGAGCAGTTCATGCAAAAAATATGGCCACAGGGCAGCACACAAGGCTGGAGGATCTCCTCCAGGCACGCTACACACGATTTACTGTTGTCCACTTCATTCGGCAGGTCATTTAATTGGTCCATATGCTTTTTAGCTAGATATAAGCTTTGCCCACATGATATAAAAGCGTGCAGTAGTGTCACTATCCCTAATAACCGTAAATGGGCATAATAAGCAGCTGCTGCAGGTCTCACATGTACATAATCTATGCCCGTCACCGTCTTTCCAATTTGCAAAGGACCACCATTTATGTAACTGAGCGCACGGTGAATGCTCTCAATCTGTGGCACCATAGAGTTTACAGCTCTCAAAATAATGATAAAAGTGTTCTGTGCTGCAGGTTTTAGAGCTGCATTTCGTTCCACACCCTTCTCTGCTTGTCTCAGAAGTTTCCTTGTCAAAGATTCACCGAGAGTCGATAAAAGAATGCTTGTTAGCCGACTGCAGAATGAAGGTAACTTGTGATAGCTGTCGTCGACTTGAACTATGCCAGAGTACTCTTCTCCTAACGTCTGGAGGTCCTTGAGAGTCGTGAATGACTTATACAAGATAGAGGACACTGGAATAGCCTTAGAAGCATGCCGTGAAGGCAAAATCCTAGAAAGTTGCTCGGCTAATTGTTTCTCGTACAGGTCGTCCTTTTGGAATGCTCGGAGTACTTCGGCAGGTTGTGCTGCTGGTAGTGCCATTTTAGAAGTAGGATAATGTTATAATACGACTATTTAATGCATTAAAATTATTTTTCCTGAAAAATTTATCACAACAACACAACCAGCTGTTTTTGACATTATTTTGACACTGACTCACTGACAGTATAGTTCCAAAATACTGGACTGTCCTGTCGATGACATTGACAGTGGGGCGCCACCGTCAATACCGGATCGCTGGTTCCGATTTTTGCCATGTTGGAAACCATATAGTTGAACGATGGTAGCGCCCCCCTGTCATTGAGTTTGGCGGGACAGTTCAGCGTGGGTCATCTATATTTATCTTTTTAATATTTTTTTTTCATAGAAGTTTTAAGGCTTTGCGTATGGATCCACATGGCCAATTACGCACTCTGTCTTGGCCCCATAAAGTTAATATTCTTCCGAAGGAATATTAACTTTATGCTTGGCCCTGGGAAACTATGCATTAATCCAGATCCAAAATAATTTCTGTGACTGTGCGCTGTGCATGCATTTTGCATCGGGCACCGCACCGTATGACCGTACTGCTTTTTGTGCTTTGTTACTTACTATGCTCTGATGAGGTAGTTGTTTACATATCGTACATGCAAAGTTCTTGTTTCAGCCAAATGGCGTCCACACCCACAGCTGGACAAAAACCTAGGCCCCAAGGATTTCCACAACAACGGTTCCTCACCGCCCGCATCCACTAGTACCTACCTATCTAAATTTTGTAGGACTACGTATGTATAGCTCACCAAGAGAACTGGCGACCGTAAACTGCTTCTATCTAGGTTTTCAAGAAAACACCAAACATAAGTCTAGAATATACTTTAATAAAGATTCACCATATCGAATCACATAACCATCTTAGTAAGTCTCACATACGCCTTAAAGTAGTTAGGATAAGTTCGCTCCAGCGTGTTAGCATCTCTAGCGCTCGCGCCGCGAATCCCACTCCCACCAGGCTGACGTTGTCAGAAGAAGTGGTGGTAGGAGTGCGCGTGCGTGTGTCAGGTACGCCGACGCTTGGCTGGAGTGGTCGCCGGGGGCGTAGACGTGTTGGCTCGCCGGCGCCCGCGGCGGGAACTACCGTCCTCGTCGATGAGCGGGGAATCCCAGGCTGTGGAGATTGGTTTAATGAAAAAGAATGCAGTTAGAAATGTGACACTTCTGCCGTCTAAACAAGGATTGCAATAAAGGTTCGGCCAAACCAACGCGATCACACGCGATCAGCCGGCGTGCAGCGAGTGCGACCAGACAATGCATTGATCGCCATCGCTGCACGCCGGCTGATCGCGAGTGAACGCGTTGGTTTGGCCGAACCTTAAGTGATACCGCTGTTCAAAACGAAGAATGCTGAAGTATCACTATTTCACTATTAATTACTACATTGTTCGTTTTGGACAGTAGACTTGTAAAGTCATAAAATGTAGCTTAGTAGATTCCTGCAGTGGGTAATGGAAAGGGAGTGATTTTTGACATAGCAAAATGTACCTTCAGGCATCACTCCACTAGTCAGAACATTTTCAGATCTGTACTATGTCTGTAGTTCACTTTATTTAAATTACATCAGGTAAAGAAAATATGGATGGTAGAGATTGCCATTTGCCACACGGCATTAAGTGACAAGTAAAAAGTTTAGTAAAAATATTTTTCATTGCTCACCTGAAGAAGTGCTGACTTTAGATTTTGACACCTTTTCCCTCTGAGACGTTGATTTTCGACTTGTAGAACTGTCCCTTGTGCCTGATGCGTTGGAATCTCGCGAATCTCTTCTGCGATCTAAACCATAATGATATCATTAGTGTTAGCTATTTATCATACTAATCTATACTAATATTATAAAGCTGAAGAGTTTGTTTGTTTGTTTACTTGAACGCGCTAATCTCAGGAACTACCGGTCCGATTTGAAAAATTATTTCAGTGTTAGATAGCCCATTTATCGAGGAAGGCTATAGGCTATATACCATCATGCTACGAGTAATAGGTGCAGAGAAAAAATGAAAAATGATTCCAAAATGGGTTTTCACACGTACGAAGTTGTGGGCACAGCTAGTAATCTATACAAGTTAATACGTAAATTGTTACCATAATCTTTCTCAGATTTGATGCTAGGCGTGTCAGTTGATGCGTGTGAGCTACCACTTTCTTTACGGGACTTTGTAGCGAGAGCGCTCACACTATCCTTCCGACTGGAGCCTGTTGGGAATTAAAATTGTTAAGACAGAATTTGAGAATACAATTTTAGGTGCTTGTACGACTTTTGATAGTATAATGTTTATGCTTAGTCGACAAGACAATACAAGGCAAAGAGCGCCAAGCACTGTGCCTTTAATGACAAAAAATTATGGTGACGTGATAACTTGGAACATAGCAAAGCACCAGTATTGAAGATTTAAAAAAAAAATGGTGTTCAAAATAATATAAAAAAATGAGCTTAGAATATCTAGTTCATAAAGCTAAACGCTATAGCATAAATTGTAGCCTAATGTGCTGTCAAAGTTGTAATTAAAGAAATTTGCTAATAAATAGATTGCTACCTTTAGGTGTGCTATCTTTGGATGCAAGGCCCTTAGAACCGCTCCTAGGCGTAGATGGCATCGGCGACGCGCTCCGGCGATCTAAAGGCAAAACTACATTAAATACAAGCTCTAGTCTCATGCACACATGTTAGAACAATCTAACAAGTACCTTCACTCTCGTCAGGTAATATAATATCCTTACATTTCTGCTTTATCAAAGGACCAAACTCGCTATCCGGGAGGCTAAAATTCATTTCATGATTCGGGAAAGGAATGCGTTCAGTGTCGTCTAACATGGATAAATCGTACAAAGACTCCAAGTGCTTCCATATATCTTGCGTGGAAATCTCTTTTGTGATTGAATTAGACAGTTTTTCCCAAATACAAGCCATGTGAAAATGCTTGTTGATGCCAACAGGTTTGTGGTTCGCCATTGCGTAAAATAATTGGATTTCCATGTCGACGTCCCATTCCACTGTATCGCCAGGTTTCACATCAGACTCCTCTTCACTAGAAACCATCTTGGTGTGGTCTTTTTAGTAAATCTACAGTGAAAACTAATTAAAATCACACAACAACAAAAATACCACCACAACAAACATTTTGGGTTTTTTTTGACAGATAAAGTGACAGGCAGAAAAAACAAATGACGACTATTGGAAGTGGTTTATTTTAACGCCTCAATAGGTTCGTAATGTTATGGCTATACATACGATTATAGCTTGTTCGGTTGAGTCATAACAAAACCGGTTAATGCCATTGCTCATAAAAAATAACGAGTGATTAAAAAAAAAATAGTTTGTCTATGGTTATCTGTCAAACAACTGTCAAAATCAGTGTGGTGCCGCTGAATCTGTATTTCACGGCTTTTTAATTTAATTTTAAAATGAATATTTAAAATTAACACTTTAATGTGATTGTGATCTGCAGATATATTCGTGTTCGTCAAATAAAAATATGGCTAATCACTACGAGGTGCCTAGTTGGTAAGATATCGCCATTCGCAAGTTTGATTACAAGCCTCCCGCAATGTGTTGACATGGCTTACAGTTTTATTTGTTAATTTGTGCTGAACTTATAGATAATATACCAAAAATATCCATAACTGAACACTGTTATCAAATATAGAACCCATTTGATTCACCAAACTCGTAATTCCCTAGTCAGATTAGAAAAATTCCGACACTGGTTTTTAGTATGACATTCTCTACAAATTGGTATGGTAATACGCCTTGTTTATTTCTAGGGCTGGCAAGCCGCCGACAGGCCTCCACCTGGACGTCCTAAAAGGGGACAAGTTGATACAAAAGTTGATGATTGACGAGAAGAAATGCTATCTGTTCGGACGGAACCCCCAGATGAATGACTTCTGCATAGATCACGCCAGCTGTTCCAGAGTGCATGCCGCTTTCGTTTACCATAAAGACTTGAATAGAGCATTTTTAGTTGATTTGGGCAGCAGTAAGTATCATTTTTGTAAACATTTTTATTCATACTGTAATTTTGAAGTGAAAAACAAAAGTAAACTTACTGCTAGCAGCCGCCCGCGACTTTGTACGCGTGGGTCCCGTTTTACCCGCTTAGAGGTTGAATTTTGCAAATTCTCTTCTTAGTGAGCACCTATCTTCTAAAAGGAACCCCTATGCAAAATTTGAGACTCCTAGCACTTGTAGTTTCTGAGATTCCGTGATGAGTGAGTGATTCAGTGACCTTTCACTTTTATACATTAGATTATTATTGTCATTTTCAATATTTTTGCAGCACACGGGACCTTCATTGGCAAAATGCGTTTGGAGTCAAACAAGCCAACGCAGTTGCCTATTGACTCTACCTTCCACTTTGGTGCTTCCACAAGAAATTATATTATAAGGTAAGTTGTGTGATACTCTTAACTTGTGATCATAATATTATCTTTATTGCTTCATGTGGTACAAACAAGGTATAAAAATAAAACAGTCCCAGAACTAGCCCTGTGAGGCCCATTATACATAATGTTAAGCTTAATCTAAATTATTTCAATAAATGTAAGTACAAATTGTAATTAATTCTTGAGTTCATACAATTCTTTCAAAGAGTAGAAACATTTCTTTATTTCAAATATTTCATTTGAGTAGAAAGTTCAATTCCCATTTGGGACACAAAAGAGTCTAGATCTTTAACATAAAAGCAATACAAATTGCAATATAATATTAACTATACTTGCATCAGGATAATAATGTAGGCCAGTTCTGATAAGAAACAGCACATGAATTCACTTTATCAGTTTCTTTTTCATATCATAATATATTTAAAGTAATCATTATGAGCCAGGCTGTTACATTTTATACATCTTCCACTTTATAAAAGCTCTTTCATTAAATTTAAAAACTACTAAGGCCCAGAACACAGTGAAACGCAACTGCAACGAAACTGCAACTTCTAGTTACTTTTGAGTTGCATCTAAGTTTTGCCATAGCGTCCGTTGAGAGACCACACATGACGCGACTAGTTCGAAACCGATTTGAACTGGTTAAAGGTTAGGTGGTTTGGCCTAAGGCTTTAATAATGTACACAAGAAAAGTTACTTTTAAAATTTTCATAATAATTTATGATGGCATACTTTTGTACACAGAGAACGACCAACGGGTAATTCTCGGGGCATAATGGAGGACTTGCCCAACACAGAACAAGAGGGTGCATTGTTGGGGCTTCCTGAGACACAGACAGAATTAGATGTGAGTTAATAGTATCAGAGTAAATACAAATGAGTAGGTCATCTTCATAGAAACGCACCAAGCGCGGTTTGTATGTGAGCGCGCCAATATACGTATGCGGCGCGCACGCACACACTGACAGATTCGGCGCAACCACGACTGGCTCCCCACTAATCCCACTAAATTTTCACAGTGTGTGCGTGCGCGCCGCATACCTGTTGGCGCGCTCACATACAAACCGCGCCTGTGCGTTTCTATGAAGATGAACTTCTTCTTCTCTCTTCTTTTCAGCCAAATGACGTCCACTGCTGGACAAAGATGAACTACTCATTTGTATTTACTCTGATAGTATTTAATAATAAATATTTTATTAGATCCTATTTCCTACTAATATTATAAATGCGAAAGTTTGGATGTCTGGCTGTCTGGATGTTTGTTACTCTTTCACGTAAGAGCTACTGAACGGATTTTGTTAAAACTTTACAATATTATTGTTTATAACCCAGAATAACATTTAGGCTATACTTTATGACGATCTGTGACACACTAAATTTCACGCGGGTAAAGCCGCGGGCAAGCTAGTAAGTAATAAATTCATTCAATTCAATTCATTTGATATTTGAGTTGATAACTGATTGGGTTGGTTTCTGATTGTAGACTGTCTAATGTAAAAAAAAATACCATTTTGTTATTCCTATACTAATTTTGTAGAGAGATATTTTATAAAAACAATATTCTTTGTATTTTTCAGAATTTAACTGAATTCAACACGGCACACAACAGAAGAATTTCTATGCTGGGCATATCTACTGATGATGGCAGTGATGTTATTAAGGTTTGTTAAATGATCTTAGTTAAGTATAGATGACTGTAGTAATTTTAATTGCATCGATCGGCATTTGCCCTAGTATGACTACTTCACCACAAATCAAGACTAATGCAAGAGATATTTAAAATTTAAACTATGTTACTTTAGCTTACCTCACATCGCTGATGTAGTTTTCCATAGTGTTTACATGGTTTGCAGTCCGCACATAACTAAACTACCTATCTCTTGGTCTGCAACCCGCTTCATGATCCTCAATTTAGTTAGTATTCAATTACAAATAAACTCTATTCAATTCAATCATACACTCTGCTCTGTGAGGACCAAAAATTGATATTTAACAAATCAAAAGTCCTGTTACGCTTGAAATTGAATGACTTTTGAGCTTCCTGCATTACACTTTTTTTTTCCTTTTTATATCTGCAATCGACTTGGGTCATAATCAGATGTTTTGTCTTGCTCTTTTTTGTCTTCTTAAGGAGGGGTATTTCAGTAAATTCTCTCCCTCGGTCTTCACTCATTCACGTAGCAATCTAGTCCAGCCTTTCAATATTCTGTCCAAGCCACTAGCATCTTTGGTCCAACTATAGTATTTGCCATCTTTTCAGTCTTGTGGTGGTCTTGTGGCTGTGTTGTGTTGTGTGTGGTTGTGGTGCCGTGTATTACACTTATGTTTATTTCTTTACAGCCAGCCACAGGCACGAAGCGTTCCGCAACCATGCCAGGTGGGATCCCAAAGAAGCAGAAACGAAACGTCTCCTTCAACGAAGAGGTGGACATCATCAACCCAGAGGACATTGACCCCACCATCGGCCGGTTCAGGAACTTAGTCAAGTCTACTATAGTGCCGAACGCTAATGCTCCTCCGAGGAAGCTGAAATTGCAGAGTGCTGATGATAGTAAGTTTTTTAACAGTAGACTTATATTGTATTCTTATTATCTATCATACGCACTGTAGTAAGGTCTTAAAATAAATGTATAATATGCTAATATTCACTGTCTAAATTGGGGAGCAAGTCTTTCAACTGCAAGGTTTAGGTTTAGTTGATTTATAACTACGACTTTTTTGTTAAGGTTTTGAGAGCAAAGTATTTCTCTGATGTATTTAAAAATCTTAAAGCAGACTATTTTATTTAGAGGGTACAGAAACGTGCAAAGATAGATGTATTTTTGAATAGAGTAGTAGATACCACCAATAAATTGACATACTTTTTATGATATATCAAAACGGAACACTCCCATGAAAACTCCCTTCAATAATAAAATTAAAGTAGGCGCACACCGTTGATTTTTCGTCCGCCGATAGTTTAGTCGGGCAGTTGATCAGTATGGGCATGTATGGGAGTGCGCACATTACGCCGATTCGATTTGGCCGATTCTTCATACAATTTAAAATCGGGCACAACTATCGGCCAACTAAAAATCAACGGTGTGCGCCTACTCTTAGGCTGAGTCCGCACTACGGTTTTTTCCCGCAAGCGTTAAACCGCCAAACCGCGGGAAAAAGCCGCAATGTGGACTGCGGACGCTTGCATTAATTTTACTTGTTATAAAATCACGCGGTTAAAAACTGCGGCGGTTTATCCGTAGTGCGGGCTCGGCCTTATTTCCCCAATAATATAGGGGTTAAACGGGTCATTCCATAAAAATCTGTATTATTTTCGACGTCATTTTGTCCGTAACTTTTTTAAGATGCTTTTGAATACTTTATTAGTGTAAATTATTGTTTATTAATTAATTATGTTATGTCTAAAAGGGCCAGTCACTTTATGCTTTATTTTAGGAGAAATTATAATTTTCAATTTTTTCATACTACATTACTCCAATATGACTTCTAATAAAGTATAAAACTTATAACCTTAACATTATAGATAAGTTAATACACATAATGTAGTTGTTTTGTTATTATCACTATATAAAAAACATCATTCCCTAACTAGTAATTTAGTCCCAAGTGCCGTTTAAAGCTAGGGCCTGACGCTCTAGGGACTGACGATTTGGAGTAAAACTTAACACAAATGCAGATTAACTTTAAATTATAAGATGCTTAATACGATGTGCCGAAAATAGCCAAAAAACCACACGTAAATACTATTAAATTATATACAATTTCCTATTATAATCAATAAAGCTACTCAACTAGGGACTGACGAAGTGACTGGATTAACACATGTTTCCGCAACAACTGGCACGTTTGCACTTATTCAAAAAACGGCTACCGCAAAGCCAGTATGGTCTGAGGATAACTTCGTATCGTACTTTAAACTCAACTAAATGTCATTCACTCTAAATACATATTAAAGCGCAAAATTATAAAATCAGTGCGTGGCGAGGGAATGACGCTAAAAACTGTAGACTCTTTTTCAACTAAAGAAAATCAAATTATTGTTTATTGAAACCGCAAAATATTAATAGAATTTGGTGTAATATACATTTAAATCGATTATTCGTTAATTAAAACAAAGGATAAAGTTGATGTTTTTATAAATGTGGGTCCCAAAACACAAACTTTTGGAGTACGGACATGCCTAGGGAATGACGTTTTGGGTCATTCAAAAGGAATTTAAGATGTTTTAAAAATAGTTTCAAAAAATATAAATGGGTGATGAATAAAGCACATTGCGAGCTATTATTTAACAATTTTGGAATAAAATATTAACAAATATTTCATGTGAAATGTGGCGCGGACTAAGAGTTGACATATTTTTGTGGAATGACCCAAACAGATTTTTTATTTTTTCAAAGAATTTGTTTCAATAATTGGTTTACAAAGTGGAAATCCAAGCCCATTTAACATACATTTTGTTATCGTCCCAGGCCAACACCACCATTCTCTGCGCCTGCAGGAGATATCGCGCGGGAATGCATTGTACTCAGACCTGCCAGCGCCCAGCTCGCATCTCAGCCTCATTGGAGCCAGGTATAATAATAGTTATTTTATTACTAGCGGCCGCCCGCGACTTCTTACGCATAGACCCCGTTTTATCCCCTTGGGGTTGAATTTTGCTCGGAAATCATTCGAATTTTTCTTGCCGTAAAAAAACCATCCTTTATTTAAAAAAAAAATTGTAAAATTGTTCCAGGTGATGTTTTTTTATGCGCTTACCATCACATTTTGATTCATTTTTATATTATAGATTATTTGCAACTTTTATCAGATTTTACCTATACATACACTGATACCTATACCAAATTCGCCCCAAGCAAACTTGGCGGCGCACTGTAAGAATTGGAGCGAGATCAAACGCGAAGCTTAAGACCAAATGCGGTGGAGGACTGTTGTGGTCGCCCTCTGTCCCATCTAGGGGACATTAGGACCATAAGTCAAGTCTGTAAATCAAATTATAATGTGTATGTGTTGTTTCAGACTCGGCTTGTTACTCCCGAATCCAGCACCAGACGTGGAATTGGAGGGTCCGGAGCCACATCTCAACATACAGCCACCTTTACCGCACTCGGGTAAACTATTTTACTGTTTAACTAGCTTCCGCCCGCGTCTTCTTACGAGTGGTTTTCGATTACATAGTTTACTAACTAAAGGACAGTGCCAATCCATGTATGGAAGTTGGACCAACTGCTGCCCAGTATGAAACCATAGTGCATTTTGTTCCTCAGGCCAATACTAATTTATAAACCGGAGCGCACTGAAATCTATCCCTGGAGTTAAGAGAAAAAAAGAGTTTTGTTTTGAATTATTTACATACAAAATATCATCGATGTATACGTACTACGCATAAGATTTCACGATTGTGGCATTAAATAACACGCGATATGTTGAACTTAACCATACTGCATCCGTAAACCTTACTTTAGTACGACTTCGACATTCTCTATAAGCGATCAAGCGCTATTGCAGTAGTTTGGTTACTTGACAGAAATTAATTATGTATTTCCAAAATGGAGCAAGAAGTTTTAGCTTAATAACTCCAATAATCGATTGTAATACACCAATAAATTGAATTTTTGCAATGATATAGAACTAAAACTTCTTGCTTCTTTTTTGGAAATAATGAATTTCTATCAACTTACCAAACAATTAAAACAGCGCTAGATCGTTTATAAAGAATGTCTAAATCGCACTAAAGTAAGGTGTACGGATGCAGTATGGTTAAGTTCAACAAAGCGAGTGTTATTTAATGCCAAAATTGCGAAATCTTATGCGTAGTACGTATACATCGATGATATTTTGTATGTAAATAATTCAAAACAAAACTCTTTTTTTCTCTTAACTCCAGGGATAGATTTCAGTGCGCTCCGGTTTATAAATTAGTATTGACCTGAGGAACAAAATGCACTATGGTTTCATTCTGGGCAGCACTTGGTCCAGACCCTGGCACTGTCCTTTAATTAATTGAATATCAAAATTAATTAATTGAATATAGTCTATCAGTCTACTCTGTTTTATTATTAACTTTTCGAAGTTTCATCTATCCATCCTTACAAGCTTACACTTTTTTTCGTTAACTGCTCTACTAAGTAGATTTCGGGTGTCTTGGGTTCGATTCCAATGTGAGTTCCATGATCTCATCTATGACTATGTATTGTTTCGAGTGTTGGCTAAATCCCCCATTTGCCTCTGGTAAATTAGTTTGTGTCTTCTTGCATTGGAGACTGAATGACCTGATGTTGATGATTATTCTTTTCCCACCAGCCCCCGAAGAAGCGAGTGCCTCCAGCGAGCCGAAAAAGAAGAAATACGCAAAAGAAGCCTGGCCGGGACGGAAACCCGGGCTCATACAGGGTGTCTGAGGGCACCCACAGGCTTAGCCCCCGGGCCCACGGCGCCTGTGCTAAGCCTACACCGCTTTGCAAGCGGAAATGGACGTTATATCAACGTTTTGGAATTTTTCAAGCGTCTCGTGCCAAATATGGCACAATTTTTGTGTAAGTGCATTACAATATAAGCTATTGCAATATAGTGAACACGTTTTCGTTTTTAAATACAACGGTAGCAATATAGTGTACACATGTGAACACAAGTTTTAGTGTACACAACAACATCGCGTACCAATTATGGTACAATATTTTTTTCAAGTGCATTACAATTTACAATACACTCGGTAGCAATATTATATACACATTTGAACACAAGTTTTCGTTTTTGAAGTATCGCGTGCCAAATATGGCACAATATTTTTTTAAATGCGTTACTATACAGTTTAATGTACATATATTAAACTGTATGAACACACCCTCCCTATATTATTTACTCGGTAGTAGTAGGAATAGCGTTTTAAGTTATTGCTTATTATTCTGAAAGTATTTACATTGTACAGTCGACAGCACACCAAACTGTACATTTTTACTGCAAAATAGCTCTTATGACAACTAAATAAGATATCATAGCATTTAGCTTGAAGTGCAGTCGTCAGTACTATATTGAAATGTTGACATAATTAATTAATACAATATTATTTCTTACGTGAAGTCATAGATTAAGATTTGTTTCTGCTTTTTACCCGACTGCGCTAGAAGGAGGGTTATGTTTTTTACTGTTTGTATGTATTTAGTATTATATTTCTTTGGCACGCTCTGTAGTTATTTTTATACAATCACTAGCTAATAAATAACTTACCAATAAATGTTTTTCTTCAATGCATTTAAACTCTATCCTTATGACATCAAAGTTTTACATTTTGTGGTATGCATGAGATGACGACCTATGGCTAATAATTTTTATTTGCATGGTATTCCATCATTTTGTTATTGATGATTTATTTGATTAATAAACAAATAATAATAGTAAAATAATAGTTAATCAGAACAGTACAAAATTAGGGAATAATAGTAAAATACATTATTGAAAAACTAGAAAAAATTTGTTAATGAGACAATCGTTACTTGTTGTAGGTTGTGTCGAATGCTGAATGTAAATAAATAATTAAGTATTGTTGGACCATTTCCTTCCCCTTCCTATATATTTAGTAATCCATATAATAAAACTAGGAAACTATGTTCTAAGTACAGTGCCACACATTTATGTATTTGTATTTTAATAGATCTAGTTAAAAAGGACCTAAGATTTTTACAGCATTCTAAATAATTCTAATGTACCTATTTCTTCTAACTCTTCTTGAAAAAACTAAGACATTAGCCGAAATGCTATGTTAATTACTATTCTGTTTATTGTACAGTCAGCGTCAAATAGTTCGTGTCACCCAAAGCAGCCAATAAGTCCGCAATACGTGTTTATTACTTAGAATAAGTTTGTGTTATCAACTTTTTGGCGACATTAGATGACACGAACTATTTGTATATTAGTATTTTGTATGTTTATCAATATCTAAAGTCTGGTCGCCGAGCAGATAGAATTTCGTCCAATGACCCCAGGCTACCCATTCTTATCGCTCACGCGTAATTATATTGCGCGACAGCAATATAATATTGATAAGGATGGGTAGCTTGGGGTCATTGGACGAAATTCCATGTGCTCGGCGACCGGACTTTATACATAGTTTAGACGACGGCACATCAAGATAAATCCCGTGGTCTTATGCAGTTGTAATTAGATTCTATTCTGCAACAAAAATGCGCGTAGGATTTGTGCCACTTTATCGATTTTACGCGATAAGCCCATAGGTTTGTCGTCTAAATCATGGATAAGATTTTATCACGGCGCGTCTGGCCCGGCTGATAACTTAGTTAGGGACTAGGTAATTGGTATGAATGAAAATCAATTTATTTATTGTAATGTTGTGGCACTGTCTGTAATTTAATTCTTTCGCTGATTTGTGGACAACTCATTTTGAACTTTATTCGTATGTAAATAAGGTTCAAAATCAATAAAAACTATACTAGTTTAAAGTTTAAGTCGTATTTTGACTGTACATCGATAGTTAAGTAGTGATACTTAATGAAATGTGCCTCGTACTATGTATAAGGCTAGTATGGAATATTTGTACATTTGTAAAGAATATTCTAGGGCGGTCAATATCACGAGCTGTGAATAGATATTTGTAAAATAAACTATGGATTATGAATTTATATGAGTGATTTTATTTAAAAACATACTTAAACTAAAAACACTTTCTCACTCGTGGGCGTAGCCAGGCTTGGGCACAGGGTGGGGCAACAGTCTAAAATAATAAGTAACTATAACCGCGGTCTTACGGTAGGTTCATTCATGGCCGCCACTTTACATCGAATAAAAGTGATAAAAGTAACAAAACAATTAAAAATATACTAGATGGCATTATAAAGGTAAATCAAACGATTATGACCCTTATAATGCTATGCAAAAAATATGAAAACGAAACGAAACTATCCGAAACTTTTGAATCGGTTACGGTTACGGATATTTTATAATAGGGATGTTTCCTGGGTCAAAAAGCAAGAGTTTTAATTAGTCCGTCAGTTAACTTATCAAAAAATACTCTACACGTATTTTTTACTTTTTCAAACTAATGAAAATTTAAAGAGATAAAGCGCGCCAAAGTTCATAAGAAGAGGCCCGTGACGTCAATGCTTGCATAAAAGTGCCGCACGTTGTGACGTGCGGAACTTCAACGCACCATAACTATGTAATTATTTGTTAGATTGACAAATAAAAATATATGTGTCCAATATTTTTTGATATTAAACATGACGTACTAAAAAAATTTTTTTAGGAAACTAGCCTATAAATATCCGAAAGTTTCGGTTACGGTTACGGATATCCATAACATCCCTGCCAAAAATAAACGAAAAAGCTAGTATGAATTAGGTAAGGTATTACATCATAAGTAGATAATACTCGTTCTCGTATTACATCATAAGTAGATAATACCAGCACATACGCATGGATTAATAAAAGGATTGCGAACAAAATACACCGTATTCTTTTGAAGGAATAACATAGATTAAAACTGGATTTGTTGGAGCCAGACATATGGGCTTTGTAATTCGTGAAATGAAAAGCGTAATATATTTAAGCAAAGTCTACGCGTATTTTAATATCCCTTCCATATGCTACAGATATAATGGAGAATGCGTGATACTGTCTGTTTCAATTTTAATTTGGCATCCTTTGATTAGGATATTACTGAAATGTATTGAAATGAAGATGAAATAAAGTCAGGTTCTTAGGGTGTAATTCGATTTTTTCAAGTTGTTTAAAATTTAGTTTGAGATGCAAAAAGCTTTGAAAATATCACCTTTTACTAATATACCTACTGGAATGGACGCTGCGTACCGGAAAACGCAGCGTGGGACGTCCACCTACAAGGTGGACCGACGACAAAATCATAAAGGTAGCAGGGAAGCGCTGGACGCAGGCCGCTACCAATCGATCAACATGGGAAGCATTGGGGGAGGCCTACTTCCAGCAGTGGACGTCCTATTTTTTTGGAATTTGGGATAATATCGAAATGTGTTATTTTTTTAATGAAAAAGAACGAAGGACGCATTTCATAAAAATTTTGTCACCTAACAAAATTTCTCTGTGTGAAGCCGCGTGCAAAAGCTAGTTAATTTAATTAATAAATCCCTACTAATTCTATCTAATTTCTACGCCTACCTCATTACGGTATTCGTAGGCGTTTTTAACTAACATTCGAATAATCCAGCCCAAAATGAACTGCCCTATAGAACAATAAACCCACTAGTAACAAACGAGTCTTGGCTACACGTAGGGCTGCCATCAGTCCGGGTTTCCCCGGATTTTCCTAGTTGAGAAGGCGTCCGGGCGGGGTTTTTGTTGTCCAGGTTTAAAAAAATTAACCCCCTTACTAATAAAAATTACACGCTCGTTGATCAGTGTTTTAAAGTGACGTTTAGTATGGAAATGTAATTTTCAAGCAGTGATCAACAACCGTGTAACTTTTTATTAGTAAGGGGGTAAGTCTCAGGCCAATGCCGGGTGACGTGACTAAGTTTTTTAAAAACTGTTGACATATCCGGGTTCTGGGCTTCAAAATACGGGGTTTTCACGCGTCTTATTCTGATTGCCAAGTGTAAGAGATGGCAACCCTGCCTACACGCATTAATTTTGCGAACACGCGCATTAATATTTACTTAAGCTCTTTGTTACACCGTGTGTCCCAGAGCGACGGTTCGCGAAAAGGCTTCCGTGTGTTCTGTGATACAGCAGAACTTTATACAGAAGGTTTATTTGTAACAGAAAGCAAGTGAATGTTACAAGTTTATTTGACGACTCATGTTGTAAAACTTGTAAATCCTATTTTTGTACAAGTTGTTTTCTACAGAGACTTACTTAAAGATCGAAAAATTATGACAAAGTAGGTATTCTTAACGAAAAATGCATGAGATGCGATTTATGATGGAGGGATTGGAGGGAGCTTGCATACCTGTGTGTCTTGAACGCAAGTTTTTGGCATCCATTTTATTACGCTCTTTTGTGTACCTTTAAAATATACTGTTTCTAAAGCTGACTACTGAATTAATTTCTATTGTGCCTCAGTACATACAATGCCCATATTTCTTCTTCGCCGAAACCGCGTACCAAAACCGCCCCACTCGCCTAAGAAATACAGGTGGAAATTGGCTACAAGTTGGGACGTCTTAATTTAACTTTCGCGTTTAGTTAAGTGCATAAACGGCTCATTATGTGTGAGAGCTCTGAGAGTCCTGAGGGCTCATATCTTATGGGTAGGGAACGGGAATCTTCTTTACCTGAAGACCGATTTTTGTGGGAATTTGGAATACTTAACTACCTAAGTAGGTACCTGAATACCGATTTTTGTAGGAAATCGGGAAGTTTTGTCCCCTAATAATAAGGTAAGTACGATTAGGGACCTAGTTATTGCTGTTATTGCTTAGTTAGAAGTTAGATGTTATTACTAGTGAACTACCAAATTATGACTGCCTAAATTGGAAGACTTATTGGCGCAGATCATTGAGAAAAAGCTTATTAAACTTGTCCTTTCGGACTAATAAGTACCTACTTATTTACGTTAAAAGTTAGTAAATTGGGTATAAGAGTACTTGGGTATGTCGTCCACTCAGATCATATTATCTCTTTCTATGATCTGAGGTCGTGGTCCATCAGTCGGATTTTACTATGTAGCTAAATCATGTTTAAAAAGCTCCCCTCGAGAATCGAACTCCACTAAACTAAACAGCATCTGTGAGCATCTATCATACCCA